AGTAGATAGATATGCTTTGCTCCCTTGCACAACCATAAGAAGGATCACAGCTAATCTCAAAACAGAAAATACCCAGAACTGCCAGAAAATTGAACTGTTTAGAAGTCTGACAACCAAGCATTTAATGAAGCCATATTCATCCAGATGGGTAGGAGGAGCAGAGATGGGCAGCCAGGGTGGAGAGGACACAGTGTGGCAGCAGTGGCCAGCAGAACTGGTGGACCCACATTCACCTATGGTGGACAAAATTTGGAGGGACACCTTGGAAGCAAGTGACCCTAGCCCCAGGCCAGACCATGTAGCTTAGAGTTCCAGTGCTGGGAAATTAAAACCTCAAACTTCTGGCTGTAAAAACCAGTAGGGGTTGGAGTGGTGGAAGAAACTGCCAGTTTCTCAAGAGAGTCCACTTAAACAGTCTGAATGGTCCTAGAATGAACTCAAACTCACCCTCTCTGGGAACTACCACCAGGATAGCAACTAGAGGGGTGCCAGTTGCGTACAGGCAGGGGGTGAAGTGACTGGAAACAGGGCTAATGCTGAGCAAGTCTCCAGCAGCCAGACAGCAGCATTGTTCCCTCTCCAATCCCTGCCACACATACAGAGCCACAAAGTGATGAAGTGGGTTGCCCTGCCCTGGTGAATACCTAAGGCTCCACACCACACAGGTTAACAAGTACCCAAAGATAAGTAGCCAAAGCAAGTCTACCTAATACACAAAATGGGGGCTGTCAAATCAAGGAGACAAAGAAACATGGTTCAAATGAAAGAACAGAATAAAACCCCAGAAAAAGAACTCAGCAAAATGGAGATAGCCAACCTATCAGATGCAGAGTTCAAAACACTGGTGATAAGAATGCTCAGAGAATTCACTGAGTGCAGCAAAACATAAGAAAAGAAATGAAGACTGCACCAAGTGAAATAAAGAAAAGTCCACAGGGAACCAACAGGGAAGGGAAGGAAGCCAAGGTTGAAATCAACAGAAGTGGAACATAAGGAAGAAATAAACATTCAACCAAAACAGAATGAAGAAACAATAACAACAACGTGCCCCCCCCCAAAAAAAAAAAAACAAAAAAAAACCCTGAGAGTATAAGAAGCCTCTGGGACATCTCCAAGAGTGCAAACATCTGAGTCACGGAGGAGGAGAAGAAAAAGAACAAAAAATTGAAAACTTATTTGAAAAAATAATGGAGAACTTCCCTAGTCTGGCAAAGAAAATAGACATAAAAGTGCAGGAAGCCCAGAGAGCCCCAAACAAGTTGGACCCAAAGAGGAACACACCGAGACACATCATAATTAAAATGCCAACGGTTAAAGATAGAGAATCTTAAAAGCAGCAAGAGGAAAGCAGATAATTACCTACAAAGTAGTTCTCATGAGACGGTCAGCTGATTTCTCAAATGAAACATTACAGGCAAGAAGCAACTGGCAAGAAATATTCAGAGTGATGAAAAGCAAGGGACTACAACCTAGATTACTCTATCCAGCAAATCTACCATTTAGAATTGAAGGGCAGATAAAGTGCTTCCCAGAAAAGGTAAAGCTAAAGGAGTAAGTCATCACCAAGCCCTTTTATACAAAATGTTAGAGGAACTTATTTAAGAAAAAGAAGATCAAAACTAAAATGGCAGTACACAACTTAAACAACTGAATCTAAAAAACAAAAACAAGCAAACAACTAGAACAGGCAGAAGATCATAGATATGGAGATCATTTGGAGGGTTATGGTTGGGGAGAGAATGGGGGGGAAAGGTACAGGAAATAGCATAATTGGTTGGTACAAAACAGGGGAAGGTTAAGAACAGTATAGGAAGTGGAGAAACCGAAGAACTTAATACACGACCCAAGGGCATGAACTGGGTCGTGGGGAGGATTGCTGAAGAGAAGGGTTACTGGACAGCCAGGGGCAAAGGGCGGAAAATTGGGAAAACCGTAATAGCATAATCAACAAAATATACTTAAAATAATATAATATAAAAGACATGAGAGTATCTTGTTTGCATATTTAGGAAAGGGTACTCTAAGGAAACAAATGCATGAAGCAAGCACACGTGTGCTGTATTTAAAAAAAACACAAGGAGACTGGTGTGGCTGGAGTAGATAGAGAAGAAGGAGAGGTGGGGGAGAAGGCAGAATATAGAGCCTTGCAGGCAATTTTAAGAATGTTGCCTTTTATTTGAATTGATCTGGGAAGCCACTGTAAAGGTCTTTGAGCAAAAGAGTGACGTATTCTAGTTTAGGCTTTACAGTATCAGTCTGGACGCTTCTGAGGATAAACTAAAGGGATATAAGGGCCGAGCAGAGAGACCAGGTAGGAGGCTATTGCAGCGAGAAGTAACGGTAGCTTGGATCAAGTTGATAGCAGCAGAGATGATAATGAATGGTCAGGTCGGTGTAATTCGTAAAGGTGGAGGCAAGAAGATTTCATGGCAGAGCAGATATGGAGGGGCAGTGTGAGAGAAGAAGAAGAGTTAGGAGTGACCCCAATTTTTTTTGGCTAAACCACTGATATTGAAGTGCTGTAAACTGAAATGGGAGAAATGGAGGAGGAACAGACTGATTTAAAGGAGATTAATAGTTTAAAACAGGTTCAATTTAAGATACACACTAGATATCCCAAGTGTAGCTAATATGCCATTGGAGTTTCAAGTTAGAGTTTAAGAAAAGCAGTCCAGTCTGGAGATTATAACTTAAGGGTTTAAATGTATTCAAAGCCAGGAGACTAGATGAGATCACTGGGGAGTCAAGTTATGAAAGAGATCTAGGATTGAGACCTGACTTACTTCCTAAGAGATGAGGGGAGATGAGAAGGAACAAGCGAAGCACTGAAAAGGAGCAGCCAGTGAGGTAAGAGAAGAACCAGGAGAGTATATCGGTAAGGAAACCAAGTAAAGCATTTTAAGGAGGAAGAAGTGATCGGCCATGTCAGTTGCTGTTGCTAGGTCAAGGAAGATAAGCATTCAGAATTGACCTTTAGATGCTTTGGTGACTTGATAAGAGCAGTTTTGAGGAGCGCTGGGGTGAAAGCCTGATTGGAATGGGTTTAAGAGTGCGTGCAGAGGCTGAGAAACTGGAGACAGCAAGTGCTGTATAAATAACTGGTTTTTGAAGAGTTTTGCTGTAAAGGGAGTAGAGAAAGGTGTCACTAAGGGGAATGTGGGAATAAAAAGAGAGTTGTCTGTTTTTTGAAGAACAGCAGTGTATTGGTATACTAACAAGAATGGCGTAGTAGAACAGGAAAAACCGTGATGAGAGAGGACAGTGAGAATTGCTGGCGTGATGTACTCGAGAAGCCCAAAGGAGAGGTTTCAGAGCACATGCGTGGTGGTGGCTTTTGCTGGGATCCGGTCTGTTGGGGATCCCCCAGACCGTTCCCAGGCTCTGATTCTCCAGGAGGACTCATAGGACTCAGCATGTAGTTGTACTCCTGTTATGATTTATCGGGTTGGCCAAAAAGTTTGTATGTTTTTTTACGTAAAATAAGAGACGTGTTTCATTTTCACCAACAACTTTATTGATTTGGATATTTTGAGTATGTTGGCCATCTCTTGCATAGTATAGCATTGATTGTTCTCAGTTTATGTCTCAATTTGATCGATATGAACTTCACCTGGTCTGTCTGACTGTGGAGCATCGTCCAGTGAAAAGTCTCCAGCAGGAAGCTTCACAGACCACATTTGACACATTTGATCAGTCACACAACACCTCCTCCAGACACTGCACAAACCTTTTTTTGCATTTCAGTCATGTTTTTATCTTTCTTGAGATAATAAAGTATAATATGTTGAAAATACTGAGTATTTTCTTCCATCTTCAACATTAAAATGGCTACACAAAAATTCACCAATTTTGATAAGATTTTTTAAATGCACGCTGATATGACTGCTGTCACAATACAGTCTAACAAAATTGTTTCGAATGAAGTTAAAGACAACTAAGCACTGCCGGAACCATCTTATGGGAAAAAAAACAAACGAACTTTTTGGCCAACCCAGTTATTACAGTGAAAGGGCACAAAGCAAAATCAGCAAAGACAAAGGTGTGTGGGGGTGAAGTATGGAGGCAAATCGGGGGGTGAGCTTTCAGAAGTCCTTTTGCAGAGCGGTCACACCAGGTCCATTTCATTTCTACAACATGTGTGAAGTTTTGTCTATGAGAGCAGTTCATTAGAGACTCAGTGTTCAAGATTTTTATTGACAACTGGTTATATAGACACCCTGTGCCTATCACATACCAAAACCCCAGTCAGAAGGACAGTAGTGTTCAGCATAAAGGATGTTGTTTGCACAGTATTCTTATTTGGGGAATGATGGGAACCCTCCCAAAATCTAAGGTCCCAGACTGCAGAGCAGGACTAGTCTAATATCAGTCCATTCTAAGGATAGCAGTTTCAGGTCTACAATGTTAACTGTTTTAACATTGTTCAATGTGTCCTTGTGTCTCCACAAGGTCCGATTTATTCAAAGTAACAGCATAGAGGGCATAGATGTGGGATCAGTATGAAGGACGATGAGCAAAAGTTTGATAGTGAAACTGAGGATACTGTGTAGAGGTAGGAAAGATTTTTTTCAAAATGCAATACTTAAATTTAAGAAATATGTAATTGTTAGTGAATAAATGTTATGAGTGTTGGTTTATTTTTAAATTCAGGTGTACAATAGGGAAATAATTTGATGAGATAAGGTATATCAATATGATGAGGCCAGTGTAGCAACCCAATTTTTATGGTTTTCTAGTATTTCCAATTTTAAACAGAGGAGCCTGTAAAATCTAGTGATCTGGTATACACCAAATATAATTACATCTCTTACATCCAATATAACAAATGACTTGCTAGACTCAAGTTTTCTGATTTTGGTTCAGAAAATCAAATGTGTTTCTGCAGTTTATGATAAGAGGTTAAATAAATAGTTTGATTTTTTTTTTGTATTTTGAGAGGAGTTTTTAGTATTGTTATTATGATGCTAAGTATTAATTATATCTTGGTGATTTTTTAATAGGGCCAAGCATCTGCTCCAAAAAGTGTGGCGATAATTGGCCATTCTATGGGTGGCCTTGTTGCAAGGGCACTGTTGACACTGAAGAATTTTAAACAAGATCTGATAAATCTCCTCATCACACAAGCCACCCCCCATGTTGCTCCCGTGATGCCCTTAGACCGCTTCATTACAGGTGAGTGCGGTCTCACGAGCACCGACCGGCCTCCCCACTGTTGGTCGGAATGAAACAAGCGCTGCAGATTCGTCCAGTGAATTCTATCCAGTGTGGAGCCGCTCAGGTTCAGATCACCTCCACGTCTGAGTACCTCTTTCTCTGCCACTTTCAACTTGGGTTCAATCGAAGCCACTGTTAGTTTTCTATGTCTGTAGCATCTTACATGGATGGCACATGTCTTGTTATCCCCAGGCACTTAAGCTTAGGTTTAGTTATTCTCGAGGATGACTCCCTGTCTCTTAAAGTGTGTTTAAATTTCTTGTGTTTTGTTAACTTCCCAGTACTCTACTCAAAATAAGCATATTTTTAAGCAAAATAGTAGAAAAGTCTTGTTTTTTAAATAAAGAGCTCTGCTAACACTGTGTGATAAGGTAGAATTACTAATGTTTACTGAGCTCTTACTGGATTTTGGATATTGCTTAAAGGACTTTATATGCTGTATTATTAAGTCCCTTAGTCTTCATAGTTGTCCTTTGAGGTAGGTACCATTGTTATCTCCATGTTTATGGATGGAAAAGAAAGAGTCCAGGACAAAGGTTTTGCCTAAAGTTACATTGGCAAGAAAGTAGCAGAGCCAGTATTTGACCCTGGTAAACTTGTTCCTGGGCCTGTGCTCTTAACTTCCACATGCTATCTTGCTTCTTAATGAGATATGTTGATACTAGGGAAATAAAATTATGGATAATGCTCTAATGTTACAGGAAATTTTGAAGAGTAAGAGTCTATGATTGCTGTCAGGTAATTGAATAGTGATAATGTCACAGAGTAAGAATTAAATGCCCATCAACTTTTTATTAAAGTCGAATATTAGCTCCACTGCTTATTCCAATATTCTGTGAATAGAAGAAAATCTTTAGAAAGAAATCATTCTTTTTCACAATCTTTTTCATTTACTCAACTTCTTACCCTATCAGAGTTTCTATGATCTTAATTATGATGAAACTTGTGTTCCTAGTTAACTGAAAAATACGCCCTGGTGACTCCAGAGCAAAGCAGTGGTAGTCCAGAGCACCCGTCCTAACAGAACATGGCCAAGGAGTTATTTGCTGGAATAGCTGATACAGTCATACTGAACAGTGAAGTTTGACTTTTTTCATTACATCGAACACTTTTCCTATAGAAGTTTTTTAATGAAAAATTTTTGTTTTATTATTGAAGTTATTTAAATCTAAATCTAATAATTATAAATTACCTATAGGTTTAGAAAAAAGTCAAAGGCATAGACAAGTCATAATACTTGTAGCATAATTGAGAACTCTTTCTTACTGCATTTTATATGTAGATGAGTCATGCAGGTTAAATTGGAATTACTGAAAATACATTCAAAAATTATTTGAGGAAAACTTTGAAGAGATTTGGGTTTTGCCATTTGGGTGGATAACCGCGATACTCTGTCTCTAAAAGGCTAAGGCTGAAACTGCTTCTTTGGGCCAAGGTGTTCTCACTGTGATGAGCAAGCTTCTTTCCTGTTTGTTCCATGTTTATTTTTTATTGCATTAGGCCAGAATTAGAATGTAAAAACACACATTCAAGGGTGGTGATTTTAGGTTTTTAGGAGACTCATATGCCTCCAGAAGGAGATCCTGTTTATGGTTGGTAGAAATTCTGCCCTTCGCTGGGGGAAGGGAGGCCTGCGCGGAGCTCCACGCACAGAGGGCTTTGCTGTGTGTGGTGCTGCCGTTCCCCAGGCCAAGTTCCTCCCCACTGAAGGCTGTGCCTTTACATTCAGACCATATTCCAGGAGGCCAAGCCTCTAGACTGTTCTTGTCCATATGCTCCAAGCTCACTTCCAGGGCTGGTGTGGGCTTCTTATTTGATTCTGTTCTGAGGGTAGGGATGTACAACCTAAGCTTGAGTCGTGGCCAAGCAGTGGCTCTGCACGAGGTACAGGTAGCATGGAGGCCCTTGTGATGCAGGATGGAATTGGGATGGGAAGAGAAGGACGATAGCACAGCGATGGGCCACAGATCGGCTCGCCCTGTGCTGCCTTTATCCAGTATCCAACTCTGAGGTGTCCTAGAATTCTGCATTTGAACTTGGCCTTCCAGGTTGAGAAAATATATTTGATTTAACAGTTTGCTACCTGGAATTTTGACTTTTCATTATTTAGGCATATGGCATGTGTACCCCCATGGTACTCTTATCCTAAGCCTGGCATGTATTAGGAATGGATTTGCATGGTCACGATCTACGTAAATACTGCTGAGATCTTTCATGGGAGCTGTATGCTGTTCCAAAATATTTGAAGCCCTCAGTGGGATCAAATACCAGGATAAAAATGCATTGTTTTGATAAGTAGAAGAGGAAATGAGAACTCCCCTCCCCTGACCTCAAATCTTACAGTAAAATTTTCTTATTGTTCATAGAAAAAGTGGAAAAATTGTGTCCAAGTTCTTTCCTTTGAAGCACTTATTACACTAAAGAGAGAGAACCTTAACCATCAGATTTTCCACAGCGACGTAGTTCCAAGACTAGAATATTATTTTCCTGATAGTTTTTATTTTAAGAGAACTTAAGTAGTACTTTGTGTGGTGGTGGTTGGCTGCAAAGGAGAGCTGCTAAGTCTTAATAAGCAGGGACAGTGCCTAATTAGGAAGATCTGTAACTTTTTACCATAGTAAAGTCTTATCTTTGGAAGAATTTTAGGTTTTTTAGGTTTGTGTGGCTCGTGAACAAGTAGCATCCTTTTGGAATGTAGCAACTTCTTTGCATATCAATTTGTCAAGCTAAGAAATTTGGGTATCTTTTTTCACTATTGATGCCTTCAGTTAATACTTAGTATTTGTAATCTGATTCAGTGGGGTAAGGAGAATATCTATAAAATATTAAAATAGAGAAATGTGAATAACATTGTTTATAGATAATTCAGATGGCTTAGAAATTCAGTTTAATATTAATATTATGGATATCTTATTGATGCAGGGTGTGACTACTAATTTTTAATGTCTTTTTTATTTTCTGCCAGATTTTTATGAAACTGTAAATGACTATTGGATTCTAAATGCTGAACACATAAATTTAACCACGCTCTCTGTAGCTGGAGGATTCCGGGATTACCAAGTTCGTTCAGGACTGACTTTTCTGCCAAAACTAAGCCATCATGCCAGTGCCTTATCTGTTGTGGTAATCTTTTTTAAAGACTCTACTGAAATAGTGACATGATGACACAGAGGGGCATAAAAGAAGTAACGTGTCGCTGCTTGGGAGTGACTGCCACGGTGGTGTCATGCTGCTCCTGCACTTGTGTGTGCGCGCGCGCGTGTGTGTGTGTGTGTGTGTGTGTGTGTGTGAGGCAGAGGTACAGAGAGATGGAGAGAATGAATGGGTGACCGAGTGATGTTGAGAAGACAGGCCTGGATGCCTGTGTTCATAGAAAGTAAAAAGGATCTTATCTTAGAGACTTGGTGAAAATAAACCTTAATTATGAGAAATAATTGTTTCTTGTTCAATGCCTATCCATTGATTAGAACTGTTAAGTATAAGAAAGTGTGGACTAAAGTCCACGGGCCTCTTGTTACACCCAAGTGGGGTGCTGTGTACTATTGTAGCAGAATACCAAACATACCATATACTCTTGGTTGTTAAACTTCAAGTTTTACCAATGCTAAAGTTTAAAAATTAGCTGTCAGAAATTGATAGTATAAACAGAACCCTGATTAATTAATTTGTTAATAAATCTTCCTTGCTAGGACAAGTATTTGGCCTTTCACTGGGATACATAACCTCAGTAAAGTCAGTTCAAGTTTCCTTTTAGGGTTTATATTATTTCTTGTATTTTTAACCTGAAGTCTTCATTTAAGATGTTAACTTTTTTTAACTCAGCATACACATCATCTTCCAATATAACTTGATTTAATTTCTTTAAAAATCCATATTTCCTTTTGCTTTCTAGAAGCTTATGCTTTCTTTTATAGTTACTGACTTAATAGGTACTCCTTTGTTTAGCTCACCTATTTCCCCACCTTAGGTTGCTATTCACTCATCCAGCAGGTACTTACTGAATGCTTGCCATACACAGAACAAAAATTATTAAGCAGTTCTGCTATTACCCACCATTTTCCTGTAACTGGAGTTGTGGTATAGCCATAGTAGCTTTGGAACAAAATTGGTAAATCTTTCAGACCTCATTATTGGTATGAATATTATTTGATGTTGAATGTTTCGAGCAGACATTTGCTGGAAGTCCTCGAAACACTAAATGTCAACTCTGCAGTAAATGCTGATGTTTTATTTAGTCACATGAAATGAAAGATAACTTATTTCTAAGACTCGTTCTAGAGCATGAGACTGTATAGATCGCACACCCTGCAGCATCCTTTTGAAAGAACCTTGGTCTTTTCAGCCGTGTGTGTGCATGTGTTTCCCTGTTTTCTTATCCATTTGCTGATGTATTGCTTTCAGGGCAACTTGTATTACTTAAGGAATTTTCTCAAAGCTGGTTATTTTATAATCTGAGTTTTATTTCGTTTTTTAGACACCAAACAGTCTAAGTCTCTCATGTTTTAAAGTATGTTCACTTAAAAAATCATCAAGAAATAACAGTTTTTTAATGATTATCTCAAGAATGGTTAAATGACATTTATATCCATTGGGCCTGGAAAAATTGCTTAAGTTAGCACAGTTCTATTGGTAGGGTAAGCTAAACTCTTGTTATATGTACTCATGCAGGTAGTGCACTTAAACATAACAGAGGTTTACATTTTACTCATATAATTGCCCAAGTGTGTATTTAAGTTGGTGGGTGGTTTTTTGAAGAAATCTCATAAAGGACCTAGGCTGAGAGTTGGCACCCGCTTCTGGAATGTTTTCCTGTTTCAACCCACAGGAAGAGGGAAGAGGAGCAGTCAGGCCTGGAAATGCACACATCACTACTGTCCACATTCTGATAGAGAACAATTAGTTGCACCTTAAAGTAAGAGAGGCCAAGAATGTAGTCTAGCCAAGTGTGCAAGAAGGCCAGAATGGATTTTGGTGGACATTCAGAAGTTTTCACCAAAGAGCATGAGCAACTGCCTTTATTGTGTGTGTTGCCTTTCCCCTTTCCAACTCTAGCGCTGATGCATTCATTAGCCTGAGTGAAAGTAAACCCGTTGTATGTTCTTGCTAATGGTAAGTGCTGTCTACTGTGAGTTCTTACTCTGCTGAGCATCTCCTATAATCTTAGAACCACAGTGAACTCTCATTGTCTCTTAACATTTTAATTAAGTTGCCAGCAGTAATTCCTAAATAAGGTACCTAATGTTTGTAAGTTCAAGGAAGCTATAGATTCATCCTGCTTTAGAGCCTGGATTGAAGGGTGTTATGTCATTGTTAGGAAGCCTTCTGCAATAGTTACATTTTTTCTAGCAGTCTTTGCCCTTATGTCTCTAACAAGTTATATATATATATAACTTGTTAGATATATATATATATATTAGCCATCTAGTGATTTTTTTCAAAGTAAGTTAGCCTGGACCCTACTTGTAAGAGTCTGATTTGATAGTTTTAGTTTTGGAATTGTGATCAGGCATATTTCTTTTGGAAAACATCTTCAGGCTAAGGTATTTATCAGGCACACTCTGATTTAGAAGAAATATCTTAGAATTTATCAGTTGGTTTGTTTAGAACTAAAGTTACTAAAATATCTATTATGATTTACCCATAAACTATGATTTCTTAAAGAATCATAAACTCAACCTCTTGTTAGAATAATAAAGAAACATTAAACTCAGAAAGGAATCTGGATGCTTTAATAATTTTTAAAGGGTGATATAACTATGACTAAGTAGTAATGACAGAAATATTTTTATGCAGGAAATATTTTTGGATCACCTTTTATAAGAATGCATCATTTAAAAATGTCTATGCATCATAAAATAGCAAAACTAATGCTGCATGTTTCTAAATATTAGCTTGTAAACATTGCAGGCCTTTTGGAGAATAACAAATGTGCTTTTCTTAAGTTTGATTTTGTTGTTGTTTCTTTTCCTTCTAGAGTACAGCAGTGCCTAAGACCTGGGTGTCAACAGACCACCTCTCCATCGTGTGGTATGTAAATGAAATTTATTTTGACAGTTTCTGGTGGTCCTTTGTTCTAGGCAGTGCGTTGATTGGTTTGTTACCTTTCTGAGAGCTTCATTCATACATAAGTAAGGATTTGAGAGACAGACAAATTTAGGAGTTAGACTTCTAAACTTGATTCTTGTCTCAGTGTGACCAAGGTTCCCGTGACAACCTATGAAATCATCTGGGAACTAGTAGCTTCAGTCTCACATGAAACTAGTGTCAGATTGCAAAAGTTTAGTTCCTCATAGTTGGGCAGAATCAAAGGCACTTGTTTTAGTGACTTCCTGAGCTCTCCGCCAGTCATCAGACTTAGGGACTTGATTGATACAGCATTGGTAATTCTAGAGTAGCACATGGAAAACCAAGCTGGAATTAGATTTACCCTTAATATAAATTCAGAAATAGATTAATATTGCTCAAGAAATATGTAGACTCTAGTATCTGATCTCTATGTGTTCTGCCTTAAAGGTTCTCTTTTTCACCTTCCTCTGGCTCTGCAACCAGTGGTGTCTACAAGAACCACCCAGCCCAGGCCTGTAACGCCAGGTAGACCCCACCTACAGCTGGGGCAGGCGAGCACATTTAGGGAACATAGAGGGGCCTTGTCAGTTCTACTGGCAATCATTCAGGAAGATTTAGTTGGCTTTGTTTTTGCTTCAACTTTAAAAAATTTGCTTAATAATGGTGATTTCTTAAGTGATTTTAGAGTTTACAGCATTAAAGGAAACAGATATTTGATTAAATAAAATTGTGTGTGTTTGTATAAAAAGTATATTATTGACAAAAGTTTCCTTTGTAACACATTTTGTTCTTTAGGTGCAAACAATTACAGTTGACTACAGTTCGAGCATTCTTTGACCTTATTGATGCTAATACTAAACAAGTATGTATTTTTAAACTAAAAATTATTTCAGTAAAGTAAGAGCTTTGTTGCAGCAGTGGTAGAATTAATACATTTTTTTACTTTGATGTAACTAGAAGCCTACGCCTTATGTTGATTATAATTACTTTCAAAGTAGAAATATCTTTGTTTAGTGGAGGGAGAGGGGGTGGGGGAAGTAGAATAGGGTAAAGGGGGGATTAGTGGTGACAAAAGGAGACTAGACTTTGGGTGGTGGGCAAACAATACAATATACACATATATAATAGAATTGTACACCTGAAACCTATATGATTTTATTAACTAACATCACTCCAGTAAATTCAATAAAAATTTTTTTAAAAGAATGCAATGAAAGTGAAAAGAGTCCTTAAAATTTCCCCCAGTTCTTCCCCTTAAAATTCATATACATATATTCTTTTAGCTTTATTTAATGGAAATACTAGCAGACTATTTTATCATTTTTTTCTTAGTAATGTGTTGTAGACCTCATGATCTATAGTATTAGATATTTTTGTTTATATTTTCTTAGAAAGCATCTTTACCTTTCTGATAGGATGAAAATATCTATATTTATTGAATAACTGAAACTTACCAGAACTTAAATTATGTAATTCTAGAAGCTGAACCTTTTCCATAATGAGATTTCACATATAAACTCTGCAAACTAATGATTTTACAACTAGTTCATTTACCAGGACACCTGGAAACCAGGTAGTTCATTTACCAGGGCACCTGGAAGTATGAAAAAATTGTAGAATATGATATTCTGCAAATAATAATATGTAAATAATATGTAAGTAACATGTACAATATCATATTACTCTCTCATCTCTTGTCTGCTAGCAGTTAAATGAGTGGGCACCGGAATTACAGCAAAATTCAGAGAAATCTGTCCATTAACCTGCATGACTTTTTTCCTGTGAGTTTGGAACACATTGCCCTGATTCATCTCCAACAGCTTTTCCCCTCACGCTGTCTTGCCAGTGCCTCACCATTCAGTAGACACGTGTCTGAGAACTGTGGCTCTGGCTTTTCCTTTTAGAGAAAAAGCTCCTCAAAAATTAGCTAATTCTTTTATTGTGGCGAAGCATTACAGCCCATGTATTTTTGGATTCTTTCTCCTGAGGACTCTTACTCTTTTAGAGACTAGTATGTGTGGCCCCTTTCTCAATAGATCTCTAGGTAATACTTCTCTTACTATTGTGTCCTAAATCTTGCTCCTGTAGCATTCTCTTCTGGGGAGGTGGTAGTTCACATCTTTCTTCTTAACCCTTTGGAAAGCTGCATAGTAACTCTGTTAGAATCGTAGACACCTGGCTCTCCCCTAAAGAATGCAGTGAAAGAAAGACCCAAATCGTTCTGTGTTTCACCACATTTTAAGCTACAAGCTACCATAATTAAGTTAGTAATTTATGAAAGTAAATAAGTTTTTGTAGAGTTAACATTGTGAATTGGTTGTAGAATACAAACATTTTTTTCAGTTTCCAACATTATTTTAAATGTCAACTGTGGTAAACATTTTTAGTCTTTTTGAGAGAATGCAACTACGTATAGTAATAGAATCAATTAAAATTGCAAGACCAGTTTGTATTTGTAGTGACATTTGGTAGGTTTAGGAATTAACCTGTATCAACCAATGAAAACAGGGATGTCTTAGACAGGTATATTCTTTAAAAATTGTACATAAAGCTAATTTTAGTAAATCAAATCTTATTTTCCATTAAATCCTCAGAGGAGAAAACTGTAATACTAGTGCATAGTAAGTTATAATTCTAAATGGATAAGTATTTTATAGACACATTTTAAGGGAAGAGAAGTTTTTAATAACTGATACTGCTAAGAATTAAAATATGAAACTGAGTTCTGTTTTACAAACTCACTATATTGATGGACTGGACTAGATGTTAGACAGTAACAGGTTAGGATATAGTTCTGCCTCAAGAAGCGCATAGCCTACAGTGGAAAGCAAACGTATGTACAAGGGAAACTATCACTCAAATCATAGTCATTCATGTAGTACCAGGGAATCAGAATTGGAGTTCATTTTTTATGGTTATCCGCATAACCACTATAGCTTAAAACTGTAGAGAAGAGGATAGTCTAGAGAACGAATAAGGACGGGCGAGTCTGACTTAACTAAAATTTTGGTTGAAAGACCCATGGCGTTTAATACCTTGCAGTCAGATGTGGCCACTTTAAAAATCAATCAAAACTAATTTTGTATTAGACTGAAGTGATTGAAGTATAGAGTTTGCATCACTGGAGTTAAATTCTAGTACACTTTCCTCCACTCTAGACACACATCTCTAGAGAATTATATTCTATTTTGTATATCATATTTTAAGAAGGGAACATTAACAAACTTGAGTTTATGCAGGAAAGGAAGGCAGGAGTAGTGGAGAAACAGTTACATTTGATGTTTTTGAAGTTGTTTGATCTGTAGAAGAGATGTTTTATTTAGATGAGGGACATAGCAATCTGTAAGTTTTTGAGGGGCAGCCTCCAACCTATATATATATATATCAAAGCGACAAGGAGTCAGATACTGGCTCTAACTAGGGCAGAACATTCTCCTGGTGAGAATTGTTAGAATTGGAATCTAATATTTTGAAAAGTACTGAGTTAAAAATGTTCAAGCAAACACTGGATGCCGGCTAAGGGATTGAAAAGATTTAGTAGGCCTGGTCCTTACTATCATTTCTTTATCATTCGCTCACTGTGTTGTTGAGAAAATCTCTTCCCTGCCAGGGCCTCAGTGCTTAACCTACAGAATTGAATAGTGGTAGATTCCAAAAGGAATTTTATACCCTAATACCTTTTTTTTTCAAGGGAGGGACTAATACAAAGTTGCCAATATTTATTGTGCTGGGATATTTTAAAACAGAAAACAAATATCTTATCGTTTGGTTGCATTTTTATTTTATAAAAGAAAGGATGTTTTGATTCAAAGGAAGTAAGCAAAGCAGTAAAAAGCAGTTTCCAAGGAAGAACAGTTGTGTATTCTCTAGAGACTCTCCATTGTATATTTTCTTTCATTGTTGTGTGATTGGCCCTGGTCTGAGTTTGGAAACTACTGTGTTGGAATCACTAGACACAGGATCACTCAAGTTCTCTTCTGAGTCCGTACGTTTACGTTTTATTCTGAACTGGTGTTTGAGAGGTACTGTAGCATAATGATTAAAAGCATGGACTCTCGAGCCAGACTCTTCATGTTTGAACACTGGCCCGAACTCTTAACAGGAGCGTAACCTTGGTTTCTCTGTGCTTTAATTTCTTCATACTTAAAACACAGTTAATAACATGTTAAGCACTTAGAATAGTACCTGGTCCATAGTAAGTAACTGTTGACTCTTAGCATTATTACTTGAAGCAAACTTTTATTGAATTGTCACAGTGGTTATGAAAGGATACAGAAGTTATCAATGTTCTTTCTAGATAACTGAAAATCCCAAGAAGAAATTGGCAGTTTTGAGCCACCACTTTATAAGACACCCAGCAAAACCCTTTGAGGAAGACCCAACACTAATTGTCGATTTAACAGGTTAGTGGTAATAACATGTTTTAATTTTAAGTAGAGTTTTGATGATTTTTTTCGTAAATTTGTTTACTAGCAGACAAAATCTTTGAAACCGATTGCTTCAGGTACTCTAATCCTATTATATTTTATTAATTTCTCTGTGATGGTTTCTTATGAGGTTGTTGGTTAAGGAAGGGGAAAAGTAGAAAAACAACTTGTAAGATGTTGCTGATAAAAAAATTTGTCCTGAAAATCATATGACAAGTAGAAAAATTTTAAAGATAAAGTTAACTGTCTCTAGCCTCCTGACAGTCACATAGAATAGATGCTGTGTTATTCTCCACTTAGCTTCTCAGTGTCATTCTTCCGTGTTTTGGGTTAACAAGCATATCTTTTGCTGGTAAATTTTGCTTGTAAATATAATACCTGTCATACTTTACTTAATTACTTGTTTGGAAAATGAAATATTGACTTTCTTCTCTTGATACTTTCTTAAAGACACCGAGTGGATTTAAAATACTTGATGATGTGAATGCTGGTTGGTGAGGAGCATATAGAGAACATCCCATTAGGTTTTCTGTTTTAAAATAGCCAATGTTCAGGAAACCACTTCTTTTTCACGTCCTCTTATGATTGAGAAATATTTCACCAGCACTTAAGAAAAGAAAGTGTTTAATATAAAAATAACAAGCCAAACAAATTAATTTCCTCTACCTTAGAGACATCTCTGTGGGTTCCAGTAAAAGTGTCAAAATGGACCTATGTAGCTTACAATGTAAGTATACCACCAGTGGAGTTTTTTTACTTTAAAAAATGTAGTATTTATCTTTAAATGTTAAAGACTCTTTAAAAGATAACCACATATCATTTTCACACATTAAAACAATTTTATAATAATTCCTTACTAATAAATATCTACTTGATTGTGAGTTTTAGAACTGTCAATTTTTTTTATTGTTCTTTCTTTATTTTCTCAAGTCGTTTGAATCAGGACACATTATCTACATAGTGTTTGTTGATATGTGTCTTATTTTTCTTTTAATCTGTAGTACTTACTTAACCACCTTTGTTCCCCTTGTAGTTTATTTGTTGAAAAAACGAGTCCTTTAAAAACAAGTCGTTTGTCCAATAAAGTATCGCAGTCTTGACTTTCTGATTGCATTACTGTGGTGTCATTCAACATATTCCTGTGCCTACTGTTTTTCTGTGATTTAGTAGTAGTTGGATCAGGTGCTCTATCAGACTCACATTTTTGTTTTGGTAGACTGTCTCTTTTTGTGCTGTTAGCAGCTGTTGAGGAATAATACCTAGTGTCATTCATTCAGTAGGATGCAAAAATGATGATACTCTAATTTGATTATTTCTTCTTCATTTGTTAACTGGAACACTGTTTAGAAAAACTTATCCAGTAAATTTATCAGAAGTGGAACAAATCAACCCTGGCCGGGTAATCCAGTTCGTGGGAGGGTCGTCCCGCACACCGAAAGGTTGTGGGTTGAACCCTTGGTCAGGGCACACACCAAGGTTGCGGGTTTGATCCCCAGAAGGCAGCCAATATAAATGTTTCTCTTTCACACTGATGTTTCTTTCTCTTTCTCCCCCTTCCTCTTTCTCTAAAATCAAGGAGACATATCCTGGTGTGAGTATTTTTTTTAAACTGGAACAAATCATAAAGGAAATAAATGATGAGTACTTGCATCCTTGGATGTTAATATTTACCGAATATTCAGAATAATGGGCTGGTTCACAAACATGCTCCATTCATGACCATAAGAGGTTTTGGGGTTTCCCCCTGATATAATTATGAACCCATGTATTAAAGCATATTTGTCTACCTAAACTAAAATACTAAAATTGTTCTATCTTTGATGGTAAAATTGATACTAAAGTTCTGTTTTTGACCAGTGTAGGCCATTTCAAAGTTAAAGTCCAGAATCTTTTGGTATAGCTGCTCTTTAGTTGTCTTTGATAGTTTTTTTTAGAGAGAGAGAGGAAGCAGAGGGAGAGAGGAAAACATTGATTTGTTGTTCCACTCAGTTATGTATTCATTGGTTGGCTCTTGGATGTACCCTGACTGGGAATTGAACCTGCAACCTTAGCATATCAGGACGATGCTCTAACCAGCTGAGCTACCCAGCCAGGGCCATGTCTTTGATAGTTTTCGCAGTGTCTAGTATAAGAAGATATATTAGTTCATTTTGCACATCTCTTGCACCAGATCTCAAATCAGCTTTTTTCTCTAAGGAAGTAGTCCAACATTTGGGGAATGGCACCTAAAACCCGTAATCTGGGCATTAGAGCTATTTATGGCTAGTGGGTTAGCATTTCTAGGTGTTTTCAGTGGACAGAGCTAAGAAAGGTATTTTATTGTATCCTGATCACAAGGTCAAAAACCAGATCAAAACAAAACACATGCTTATACTGATACTTTTGAAACACAGCCAGGACTACAGGGTTTGTGCCTGATCTCTCTATCTTATATGTCTCTTCTTCCCACTCCCAGAGTTACTGGTTCTCAACATCGCCAGGAATAATAGAATTAGAATAATTGCTGATCGCTTTATCTGGGTTTTTAAATGATGAAATTATCCATTCTCATGATAGTTTTATTGTGTTTTTCCTCTCTTTTTAGGAATCTGAAAAATTATATTTTACATTTCCTCTTGCACACCATAGAAAAATCCACACTCATGCCTATTGTCAGAGCAACATGCTGGTAAGATGATTGGTACATCTTATGTAAATTTAAAAGGCTGACTGTTCATTTTTCAGATTCAACTAATATCGCTAGTAAATCTCATATTTAGTATGCACTATTACTAAAGCTAATTAGTTGAAAAATATTTGTCTGGAACAGCGTTTTGATTGAAAAGTATTCATCAGAATGTTTCTGTAGCTGATAACATACCAGGATCTAAGATATCACTTAATTGGTAGATGCCACAGTTTGATAGTAACAACAACGCCTTTAGAAAAGATGGTTGGCAGGCATTGTGGGCTTGGTGCTAATGAATGAATACCAATTTTAGTGGTATTACTACAGTCTCACAATCTCTTACAGAGACTAGCATCTCTCAGCCTGAAATCTGGATGGGCAGTTTATCCCAAGAGAATCAGGCCCCGAGAGTGATGGCTTAATATATCCATATTTAATACTGAATTTCAAATCAAAGTATCTATATTGAGAAAAATCTTTGCCAAAGTGTAAATTATCTGTTTGGTGTATTGGAGGATTCCTTTTCTTTAATTAAGGTCCATCAGTGTTAATTAGCATAAAGTAATGTAGTGAATTTTTAAAAATCTGTTTCACTTTTATGTAGAAATTTTCTAGCACACAAAAGTAGAAAAGATGATAATGAATTCTCATGTAACTATCACATACAGCCAGCTTTAACAGTTAGTGTTCTGCCCTCCTAACCACTTATCCTTTCCTCACTTTTTTAGCCTAAAGAAGTTTCTAAAGTAAATTTCAGGCATTTTATTCTTTCACCCATAAATACTTCAACATATTTTTTCTAACAGATAAGAATTTCATACATTACCATCATGCCATTATTTCACTGAAAATTTTTTACTTATTTCTTGGTATCATGTGGTATCCAGTTCAAGTTCACTTTTGTTCTGTATGTTGTAAGTTGGTTTATCTGAATCAGAATGTAAAGTACAGACATTTCATTAGATTTGTGGATCTTAAGTCTGTTTTGTGATAGCCCCTATTTCTCTCTATTTATTTATTCAAGAAAGGTTATGTACTCTACAAATTTCCTACATTGTGGGTTTAGATGATTGTATTCTTGTGTTATCTTTTAACATGTGTTTATATCCTTTATGTTTTCTGTACACTGGTAGTTAGATCTAGAACCTTGATTAGATTCAGACTAATTTTGTGTGGTAAAAATGTTTTATAAGTAGAGCTATGTACTTATTTCATCAGGAGTTATATACCATCCAGTCGGCCCACTTTTAATGACATAAGGACTTGTCAGTGGACTTAGGTGGTATCAGTGTATCTGTCCATTATGAAATTCCTAATGATCTCTCACCTAATGATTTTAGCATCCATTGAGGGCCATATACAGATTTTTCTTAAGAACTATACATTTTGTGATCTAGTTGCATTTTTTTTCTTTATACTTCCTGGAGTCAGTTGGCAATTTTGGGGTGACTTTTTCTAAGATTTTTAATACAATTTTAATAATTAGTTAGGGATATTTACTAGATATCCTGAAATTGTCATTTTGATACCTAGGTTATTATATCAAAATGGTGTTTTAGGATGGGCTTCAATAACACTTTATTCAGTTCATTGAAGAATGAGTCATAATTCCATATACACTGAAGTAAGTAGTGGAATATTGTCAGCTTTCGTAATAAGGACTAACTTTGAGGATAGGTTCCCTTATTAGCTGCAAAGACCCGTTATGAAACTGGGTTGGATCTCGAGAGGCTGCTAGATTGTCTTGGCCTAGACTGTGTGCATCTTTTCTGTTGCCTTGCTTTGTAATGTCCCATTACTGTCCTGAGAAGCATAGGTGACACAGAAGTCACACAGGTATTTTGCCAGCAATGGAGAACCAAGGGAAATACCATATTGTTTTTGTTTGTTTCCTTTAAGCATTTTTTCTGTATTTCTGAAAAATGTCTTAAAATTTTATTTAAGTTTCTTGAGAGCAAAGACCACATCTGCTTGAGTTGTCCTTTTCCTTGAAGATGTAATTCCTTGGCCCTGGAGTGGACTTTATAAATTATACATATAAGTTTAATTAAAGGATTTATTTTTTCATTGTCCTGTGTATATACTAAGGAAGAATTTATCTGCTATCTGACCAGTGTTTCTCATCCTTTTATGCCCCAGTAGGATTTCAGATCTTGGAGTATTGCTCCTACTCACTGCCTGAAAAGTTGGAGTGATCTTAGGTCATAGCTCTGTTAAATGACCAGAGCTAAGTACATAATATTGTTAAAATATCACAACTATCTCTGCAACATTTCCATGCTGCACTAATAAAGTTGTAACTAGCTTCAGTCTTGGGCTGTGTTTCAGTCCAAACACATTCTCAGCTGCATGGAAGTTGCATGCCTGGTAATCAAATAACTCAAATAAAAACTGAAAGGCCATACTTAGATTGATTGGTATTTTTAATTACTTGGCTGTGGATTTTTTGTTTGTGTAAAAGCCTACCTCTTATTGTTCATTTTCCTGTGTTTGTTGAAATGTGGATTATTTACTATGTAACTACCTGATTAAACTATAGGCATTGCCAGTCTCTGAAAGTGTGGGTTCAAAAATTAGAAGTGCTTACTTAGTGTGTTATGGAGAGACACCGGTCAGGTTACTCTTTCTCACCTTGCTACTCTAGGTTACTTGCTTACCTATTTTGTTGGCATTAGACTTCTTTGCCTGCCCTTGAGCTTTTTGACTTTTAGACCATCTTGGATATGTTTCTAAGTAATAAGTTGCTATTTTATGTTTCCGTTGTGTCTACAGACCCAATCATACAACAGAAAAATATTGAAGATGCCTATTTCACATAATTATTTTCTACATTATTTAGTGTACTTTGTTTTATTAACCAACAGGACACAAATAGTTGGATTTTTGGCTGTGTAAACACCACTCTTATTTGGTGAGTCTTTTGAATTTGCCTTCTGTTATTCATTTTTCTCAACATACACATACCCACATATTATACTGTCGCAATTGCTTATTACATTTTTAAGTTCATTTTGATGCTATGCTAATTAAAGAATTGATTTTAAAGTGAAAAATAAAGAAAATTAACATACCAGTAATTTTTGTAAACATCGAAATAGTTGGTTGCTAGGAGAGACAGTTTTTTTGTCCCTAAAGGGATTATGTGGGTAGAAAATATTGGATTAGACTTAATAGACTTCATTTCATTAAAACTCTAATAGCTCTATAGATGGTTTCTTTTTCCTCCGAAACTTATTTGTAATTTATAATACTTTAGTATGTTTGTCCTTTAATTATATTTCATAGCCAGCAAGGGGTTGATCTGTCATGGAAAACTGAACTGCTGCCGACAATGAAGGTGAAGTACAGCTTTAGAATTTTAATGTTTATGTGAAAAAATACTGGAGCCTATAGGCATTTTAGAGTCTGTTATTTTATTAATGCATGTAGGTATTGAATAAATTTGAGATTTGTTCATGTTGATTTTAGAAATATTTTCCCTAGAAATGAATTCAGTGAAGAAAAACATGATTGTTTTAACTTTCAGAGGTAAAAATTAGGAAGTTAACAATGCTCTAAATAAAATGAAATCTATATGTTATGGCATCAGCCAAGAGGTAGATAAATTTTTAAAATTTATTTTGAGGGTATATTTAAGGCCCTTTCATTTATATTAGAGTACACAAGGTCTGTCCAGAAGATGTCCAGCCATGTGATATGAAAGATAAGAGACATTTATTGAAGAAGGTACAAAATAAAGGAAACATTGTACACTTCAGTCCCCTTCAAAGTAGACATGTTGAGACCTCACACAGTTCTTCCACTCACCATCAGCTGTCCTGTCATATTTTCCTGAATCTCATCAACAGTCTGAAATCTCTTCCCCTTCAACGGTGATTTTAATTTTAGGAAAAAGAAGTTGCAGGGTGCCAAATCTAAGCTGTAGGGGGGCTGAGTCACCTGGGTGATTTGCTATTTTGCCAAAAAGCTCTGCAGGAGACATGATGCATTAGCAGGCATGTTGTCCTGATGAAGCTGCTAGTCACTAGTTGCCCATAGCGGTGGCCTTCTAAATCATCCGATCAGTTTCCACAGAGGAATGTTCAAGCATAATGCAAAATTTAATGTGGATTCACTGCTCTCCTTGCCCAGTCATTTTGAATGTGATGGCCGCACAGTACACATGCTCACTCAGCGGTGTCTACTGCCCCCACTGACTAGTACAATGAAGTTGTCATTCTTTATGCATGGACATTCCAGTCCACTCTCCTTGGCTGCTTCGTTACATCGATGTCACACAAGCCATTCTTGTTACATTAGCAATGGCTGGACTTTTTATGGACAGACCTGGTATGTCTTGCAGAAAGTTGGCTGAGGAAGTTGAGGTGAAGCCCAAGAATTTAACAGACACTCCCAAGTGAATCTCGTGAGGTGGTAGGTGTCCACTTGCTGACAGAGAGTTCTTTAGCTTCAGGACCTCTGCCTGGACTGGGTCACAGAGGTGTATCTGAAGAGCAATAAAGAAAGTTCCATGCAGAAATTTATTAATGCATACAAATTGTTACAACATATGACTACTCCCACTCCTGCATGTACTTCTCGGGAAAAAAATGTGGGTTTAAAACACTGTATTTGGTGCCTTGGCCAGGTGGCCCAGTTGGTTAAGCGTCATCATATGTGATGGGAGTGACCAGTTGATGTTTCTGTCTCCTTGGTGTCCCCCCCTTTTTAATCTAAAATCAGCAAGCATGTCCTCAGGTTAGGATTAAAAATGAAATAATAAAATGAAAATAAAAACTATATTTGGTGACTTGGCTTTTCATTAAATAGACCAGTCTTCTATTTATTCCTCACAGTAGGGACTATAGGATCTGGTCTTAATTTCGAGAAGAGGATAGATGTTCATTTGGAAAAGTACATTATTAGCTGTGTTGAGTCTTCATGTTGTTTACGGAATCAGTTTCTGGTTATGATGTTCATATATATCATTAGCCAGCAACTCTTTACTACCTGGGCTAGATCAGAATTATCTGAGATTAAGTTCCAGTTCTTCTACCATATTTGGCATCCATTCATTCATCAGCTGTTGAGTCTGTGTCAGATACTACTACCAAACTAAACACAGAAACAGCGCTGTAACATTCAAAATGGGAAAATTATAAAAAGAAAGACCAACTCTGAAAATGACATAAAGTATTTACATTCAGTTTTAAACAGCACTTGGTTTACATGAAGGGATACAGTTCAAGGGATCCAGGGACTGTTTGGTAGCCCATGTGTACAGAATTATTAGGGGTTTGACTTTCAGCAGGATTGTTGACCTGTATTGAACATAAAGTTTGAAATCATTTTTTACAACATATTAAACAAGAAATACCTTATAGTAATAATAGTAATAGTATTTATTTTTCTTCTAATGTGCTTTAAGCTCTGTATAGCCTAAGAAATAAAATCAGCTTTTTACTTTCATCTTTTTTTTTTTTTAGTCTCTGACGTTAAGACTTCAAGACTATCCATTTTTGTCTCATCTTGTCGTTTATGTGCCATCTGTTCATGGAAGTAAGGTAAAAATGGGTCACATTTTTTTCCCAGATACGCTAAATATTTGTTATTTTGAGATGAATGCTTCAGCATAGGGCTTATCTAAAACAACGGCTGGTTTGGTGATCCACCTCAGATCATCTACTCGAACTAAGCAAAATAAACTCAAGTCTCTTATTACAAATGGGAACATCAGTCTTTCAAAATCTACTAATTATGGAGACCCTTTTATCTGTAAGAGTCCATGCCAGGAATTACAGGAGACACACAGATGAGGGGGAAACAAACCCTATTCTCGGAAAGCTATATACTGTGAGGTAGAGGAAGAGAAATAAATATATTTGGAAACAGGAGAAAGAGTGAGAATAAAAGAGATATTCAAAATATATGATACAAATCAGAATAGAGCAAATAAATGAAACATTTAAAAGGGGGTCAAATCAAGAAATGTTTTATTATGAGATGATTTTTAATGGTTAGGATTATAAAAATATTCTAGAATGACTATTCTAGACCTGTGCTATGCAATATGGGGATTACTGGCACATGTCACTATTTAATTTTAAGTTAATTAAAATAGAATAAAATTAGAAATTCAGTTCCTTGATTGTATTGGCAACATTCAAGATGCTGAATACTGGCATTGCAGAAAGGTGTAATGAGCAACACTGGAGACAAAGAAACAGTGGGGACCAAGCGTAGAACTGTGAAAGCAGGGGTTATGTTTAGAAAACAGAATAAGTAAATGGTAATTATGAGAGGATGGCCACCAATTATGAGAATAGTCATGGAAGAAAAATATGAAAAAGTAGTTCATGGCCATGTTGTGGGGGCCTCGATTGGAAGATTCAGGACTCCACAGTATTCAGGAGTTAGTAGGGGACTGAAAGTTTTTTCACCGTAGTAGTAATGGGACTAGAGCTGTTTTGGAAGATGAATCTATTTAAGGTATAGGATGGATTAGAAACAGAATAGGCATCTCCTAGGGGGTTCTGAGAGCTTGTCCTAGGGACGTGGGAGTAGAAATAAAAGGATGGTCACTTCTGAGAGAAGTAGTGGGGAAGGAGGAAGGTGGAGGTAAAAGACCCTCTGTTCCCCTGTCCACGTTTTACCCAGAAAAAGCATCCTTCAAGACCCGGCCTAAGTGGTCCCTGTGTGCTTTTTCTGGACGCCTTCAGGAACCTCTTACTTACTTCCCTGCTACTTTGTTTATAACATCTTTGAGGAATTTATTACACTAAATTGTAATTTATTTATGCTTCTGTTGCCATCACCATACTCCGAATTCTTTCGGAGTAAGAACAAGATATATTTTATTCTACTTTGCATCTTCAACCTTTAGGTAATTCCACATAAATATTCAAATAATGTTTTTTGAATGAGAAAGTTGATGAGATTTTTTGCCGAAATCATTAGGAAAATTTAAAGGGCTTGGGTATGTAGTTGGAAGTCATGTCAAAGACTGAGTCTCACAAGGAGCTTGTAATAGATTCATTGTTCTGTTTTGCGTAGCTCAAATGAGAGGTAGTTCAACCTCTTTGATACTAAAACTCTCTTTAAGGGTTTTTCAGTCAGCTAAGTTAGTTTTGAATGAATTTAGCATCTTTCCCAAACTTAGAAAAGCCAAGACGTTTGTGAGCTTTTGACCAGCAGTCTTGGCAGCCTGCCGAAGGTGCGATACTGTGTCTCAGCAGCGCTCTTCGGGGCAGCGCTGTGGCGGCGGCTGCTGCAGTGTCCCACAGGGTGGTGACTGAGGCCTCTCCCAACTCCTGCACGCCTGTGCCAGCCCGTTTCACCAGGATACGTGTTTTTAACTAGGCAGTGGAAGACTTTTTGAGTCAAATAAGATACAGTTTTCAAAATGCAAGTATGGAATTAATCTGCATTTTTAATGACACAAAAGAAAATAACTAAATCCATTAGAACGTTATTTACCTTGAGTGTTTCGGAAAGAAACCCTTGATTCCTTTCTTTCTTGGGTAAGGGTTTATTCTATCAAAAGCATGGCCAAATTTTTAAAGAAATAATAAAACTATTATTTTAACTTTTCCTGTCTGACTTATTTCATTTAGCATGATGTGGGTTATAAAACTGAAAGCAACAAGAAAACAAACAAAACCACAGATGAGAGTGTGGTGATTTTTAGAGGGAAGGGGGATGAGGGTAAAGGGGGTCAAGTACATGGTGATGGAAGGAGATTTGACTTTGCATGGTGGGCACACAATGCACAGTGCAATATACAGGTGATTTATCGGAGACATGTGTGCACTTGAAACCTATAGAATCTTATTAACTAATGTCACCCCAATAAAGTACATTAAAAATTGTGTTATTTTAGATACCTGTGCAAAAAGTAGTTTAAAACTTTCTGTATCTCAGGCAATGGATCACTCAAAAATACTTTGTAAAAATATAATGAATATCCTGTTTAATAAATCATTTCTCTAATCTTTGAATAGCTGTTCTCTGTGATAAAAATATCTGTGTACTTTGCCTTGGAAGTAAAGAGGGGAAGATAAAAGCAAAGCCCCTTAATGTGTTTTTTAACTTCCCTTATGTGTGTACTATATAGCTTTTCCCCTCATCTGCTCTTCACTTTCACAAGAGTCAAAAACTCACCCAAGAGGCAGACGCACTGCTTCAAACACAACCCAAGGTGCAGTTATCAGAAGAAGCCGCGGGTAGACTCCACCAGTGTTCTGCCTTCCGTAGATAGCAGACTGCCTGGTAGCTACAGTCAGGCATCAGATTAGTTTCTTCTTTAGTTCTTCTGGATCAAAGTGTGAATGAAACCATTCTCGTCATAGGCATCTGAGCTCAGAGTTCTTATGGAAAAGAAATGTCGTTACAAAAAAACTGTAATGATACCGATGTCACATTTCGGGCTTCCTTTTTTTGAGCTAGCATTTCTTTTTCTTGCTTCATGCACAGTAAGCCTTTTTTTTTCCATTTACCATGATAACTGTTCCGCCTGAAATAATTTTATACAAGTAACATTAGCCATCTGCAGATGAATGGCAGTATGTTTCCAAAATCCTTTTGTAATCTAATTAGACTGTAGCTACTTAATAAATGTGGGATTTAAAAAAGTAACAAAATCATGTTTTTATTTTGATTCCGAAAGTATATACGTATATTATCTAAATCCCGAATTAATCTTGAGTTAACCTCAGCTCTTGATGCTTGCCTCTATTCCTTAATGTCCCTTTTCTAGAAGCACCTAAAATTAATGACAAGAAAACTTTGTGTAGATCTGTTATGCAGCGACCCACTAATAATTTATTAAATTAAGTTTATTTAACAAATGTTTAGTTTAGCATCTCTACTTGAGGAATTTAGAGTGAGAATGTGATGCATAGTACCCTCTCCACAGTGGAAGATTTTTATTTTCCACTCAAACATCAGGATTTTTTACCACAAATTTCTGCTTTTTCCTAGTAAGTCAATGTTTTATATTTCAGTATGCTGTCGATTGTGAATTCTTTAAAAGAGAGGCAAGATCCTTGCAGCTTCCTGTAACTCATCTTTTTTCCTTTGGTGAGTATTTGATTTTAGGAATCTTAAGAATTACTTTAACAGTGCTGATTTATTTTGCAAGGTCATTAAAATAAAGCAGACCCATGTAGCAAGAGTATTATTATGTGTTTCAAATGTAGTTCTTAGGGTAACCATGTGATGTGGTTCAGTAGTTTGATTTTTATTTAATGCTGGGCCAGCATTCACATTCTGAGAAGTGAACTTTAAAAGAAATGTTTTCATGATCACATGCGCCTGCAGGTAGTTGTGTGTTTGGCCTCTCCTGTGAATTTATATAAAATACGGGCCCTTTTTATAAAGGCTTATAAAGTATGTGTTTCCATCTGACTTATGAAGGCTTCAAGATATCTCTAAATACAATTTTTTCCTTTTTTTGTTGTTGTAAAATATACACAGCTAAGTATTTTTTAAGATTTTTCATTCTGACACAGTTTTAGACTGCCGAAAGTACAGAGTTTGTGTATCTCCATCACTCATGTTTCTACAGTGTTGGCCTCTTAAACAATCCAGTTGTCAAAACTGAGCAATGAGCTTTGGTGTAATTCTGTTTCATATCAGAGGATACAAGTGTCACTCACTGTATCCAATTCCTGGCGAAGTTAACCTTGGTCACTTGGTTAAGGTGGTGTCTGCGGGTTTTTCCACTGTGAAGTTACTGTTATTGATAAGTATCTTGGGGAAAATACTTTCAAAGTAAATATCCTGTTTTCCTTCAAAATAACTCACCAATCTTAGCATCCATTGGCTCGTTTAGTCTGGAGCAATTATTACTGATAGTCTAGTCTGTATTTACTGGAATTCATCCTAAGGAAAAGTTGTCCCTTCTCCCTGATTGATCGATTGATTGATTTTATGTCAGTAATGGACTCATGCATATTTACTTTATTCATTAAATTATAATTTAGTACTATTGGGTTTTTCCCCCTTAAGATTCACCAGTTTTGGATATTGGAATCTCTTTTTTGGTTGGCTCTTGTGCTATTGTATGTATTTGTGAAAAGAATTTATATTACTTGGTGGAGGAAACGTCCTTCAGGGTTTTTATCCCTTCCCTACCCTTTTTTGGTGGAATTCTCAGAATGATACAGAAATGACAATTCTGTATCACCTAGCTCATTAAAGATCACAAGCTTATAAAGTAAGAGATCTACCAAGAAAGCATACCTTTTTGAAATTGGAAATATGTACTTGATCTTTTAAAATACATGCATGTGGCCCTGGCAGGGTGCTCAGCTGATTAGAGCACTAACCCAGGACACCAAAAGTTTGCAGGTTTGATTCCTGGTCAGGGAACGTACCTAGATTGTGGGCTCCCCAGTTGGGTCGCATAAGGAGGCAACCCATTGATGTTTCTCTCTCTCTCTCTCGCTTCCTCTCTCTCTAAAATTAATAAACATATCCTTGTATGATGATGAAAAAAACTACATGTGGTTGAGAGGCATTATAAATGTTTTATCCAGTTTATTGAAGGAAGATTGGATTTTTAGGGGTTCATTCTTTTGTGTTAGAAGTCAGAACCTATCAATATTTTTAATATTAAAAATCTGTTGGTATTTTTTATCATTGTTTAAGCAGTTGGTACTTTTTTAATTCTTCGGTATTCTAAGCAGTGCAGTACTTTTAATTTAACAGGATTGTCTTCAAGGACAGTGATATTAAATACAAAAGGCCTGTTCTATAATATAGAGCTTCTGAACTTTGGACAGGTAATTATCTTGACTATAACAAGGATTTAATTTTACTTTACTGTTTAGTTAAACAAGCAAATAAACTTCTGTTTTTGTGATCAAACTCTATTAGATATACCAAGGTTTTACAATCAACGTAGTAAGCAAGTGCGCAGCAGTCAAAAGTAAGTGTATTTTCTGAAAAAATATAATGGTTTTGTCAATACATGGTTTTATAATGGTTGAGTCTGTAGGTCTTCACTTGAAATTTCTATATTATTTATGCTTCTATATATTTTATGTGAAGTAAATTTTAATGTTACAGTATGAAAGCGGTTTATATTTCCACAGTTAACAAATTTAACATAGACCCTTTCTTAATAGTAAGCATCTTTATCTGTTTTAGTTTAAATATCCAAATTGTAAAAATACCGTACATTCTTGCTGTCTTATTATAGTTGTAATTCTGATTTAGCGGTTTAATGTTTCTGCAGTTTCTAGTACTTCCCATATGCTCTGATATCTTTTGTAAGTTTTATTAAACATTATTACTTGATAATTTTCTATAATTTATTATGTGATATAACCCTTACTGATTTTTAATGAAATGAGTAATTCTATAATTAGGTATTATAGTAGCTTTTATGTAACATTTAAGTGACATATCACGTAGATTTCTTTGTGCTAAGAGAGGTTAGTAATACATGTTTTTCTTTATATTTTCTCAGGCGAAATAACTAGTATCTATAAACTTCAGATTCCATGGTCTTATGAAGATTCACTAACCATTGCACAGTAAGTACCTGAAAAATTTACCTTGAACTTTTGTGCTTTTGAATAATACACATTCTACTTCGTTTATTTAAATCCTAGTGGAATTATTAAAGTTTCTCTTACTAAAATGTAGGTGTCCTTTCTGTAGCATTGTACCCATAAGGTAATAATAATATATAGTATTCTTACTTAAATGATACAGAACTTAGACCTTCATTGCTTGAAACATGAACCCAACCCACCCTGTCTCCTAGTTCCATGTCCCAGAGGGAGCCTCTGCTCAGACACCTGTGATGTGCCTGGCAACGGCCGCCCGCAGTGATGTGTCTGACACCTGGCTTCCTCTGCCCTGTCCTGTTGTTTTGTGCCAAGTGTTGACTTGGCCATTGTTATTTAACAGCATTTTTTGTTTGAGAACTGATATCTAAGTTACTTTTCAGGGCTCCATCTTCAACGGAAATTTCTCTGAAACTTCATGTTGCTCAACCAGATAATTACAGCTATGTAGCCTTGTTAAAAATGTACACGTCCTCAGACTGTCAGTATGAGGTAAGCTGTGTGTCTGCTTAATTTTTAAGATTTAGTGATAGACTAAACTAGAAGTATATTTTTATATTAACTTCAGCTATCCGGTGATGTGGAAGGCAATAAAAGATAGAAATAGACATTTATTTAAAAAAAGAAATAGACATTTGTATGACCTAAGTATTCTCTATTTTACCTATTAGCACCACCTCAGTATTTTCTTATCTGGACCACTGAAAGTGTACATCTTGATAAGTAATAGAAAATAAAATAAAAATTGAGACTGAAGTTTCACTTTTTCAGTTTGGAAGCCAAAAGTCTAGAATCTTTTATAAATTGAAGAACATCATAAATCAGATTATGTGGCTAAAACTCCTTAATCAAAATGATATGTATTGTTTCTAACTCTCCTAGATCATCTTAAGGATCATCTTTCCTTTTCACTAATTATATTAGGCTCTGTTACATGTGCAATCCAGTGCCTATTGTGTTTGTGCTAATATCACATAGATTTCTTTGTGCTAGGAGAGGGAATTAGAACTGGAGAGTAACATTTTATTAAGTCGAGGATTCAGGAACTCCAGGAGTCCCTCCCTGTAATCGAAGTGCCAGGTTCTAAGGATTCCAGATTTAAGTGGTTGGAGTATACTTTTGTGGAGACATCACAGGTTTCTGGTTTATGTGAAATATCTTATTTCTACTCAACTGCTTTAAACCAAGCTTAAATATTTGGATTCTTTATTAGAACTAACTTTCTTAGGGTAAACTAAATTGCTAGGTCTAATGAGTAGAATTTTGCCCACAACCAGGTTTCAGTTGGACCAGTATTACGAGTTACTGTAGAGTTCATGGAATTTTTAATGCTTTGTTATCTTGCTTCCTGTTTCTAACATTGAAGGATTACAAGGAAATCGTGGTTTTTAACTTGTACCTCCATATTTTACAGAGATAGTATGAATTATGTTAATAACTTGTCTCCAACTATGCATGCTCTCAAAGTGTTCATGTTTTTACAAATACTTCATATTTCCAAAAAGTTTTTCTTGACAAAATGTAAGCATTTTATAACCTGCTTGTGAGAGGTTTCCTTTTCTCAGACTTTCTAATATCAAAAAAGTGAATTTATGCTAGAAATAATTAACGATAAATATCTGTTTAAAATATTGTTTTGGCTTAGATTTTACTAAATGTGCTATTTGTTCATGGTCTTACATCATTTGAAACCCATTTTTATAAAATTCACTCAGAAGTGGTTTAGCTTAACTCTCTTTAGTGCTATACAATTTTAGGTTTGAGACTTCAAAGTATTAATTGTATAATAGGTTGATTAGTTTGTGCCTAATTTTTCTGCAAACATGTATAGTTTCTGGACTCAATCACTTAATGAATTTCTTTAGTTTGCATCATCTGGTAATGAGATATCTCTGGTTAATTAAATATTGTAGTTAGTAAAGGGTTACCCTATATACCATAGCACTCATTCAGTTGTCAAAGAATTAGAATATGGGAAAGTACACTGAACAGTAAAATTAAGCTTGATTCTTTCGAGATCTGGAGTGCCTTTAGGTTTATTAGTATAGAAAAGTTAATGATTAATAAAATGCTCAATTTAATAAAATGTGAACCCAAGCAGTTTTAGAGAAAATAACCTTTTTTTTAATGATTGTTTTAAACCAGGTAACAATTAGGACTTCCTTTTCACAAATCCTTGGACAGGTAAGAGAGACTCCTGTTTGATTTTTTATCACCTTGTGAACACATACTATAAGACGGGGTGGCAAGCTTTTTCTGTAAAAGGCCAGATAACAAGTATCTTAGCAGAGCACACGTGGCCTCTTGCTGCTGCCAGCACGACTGCAGCTGCCACTTTCTTCTGCTTTCTCCCTTTTTCTTCCTGCTTCCACTCTAAGAAGATCTAAAAACTATGCAAAGGCACACAGGCCGTACTTGGCCGCCCTGGCTTTAAGGGGATGCTTTCATGTTTGATACTTCCTAGGAATGAGCTGATTCCTGATTCTCAAACAAATTAGTATTCTTGGCTAAATGAATGTCATGTTAAGATTTCATGTTGCTCATATATATAATTCATAGTTTATTTAATAGCATCTGTAGAGTCTCATATAAATTAACATTTTCAAAAGACTTAATTTTCTGCATGCTCAGTTTGTAAAAGGTAAAAGTAAGTTATATTCAATAAATATGTTGAAAAACAGTTTAGATTTATTTGAAGAGTATCCTTCTATAATTCAGAGGTAAATACTATTACAGAAATAACTTATCAAGTTGCATAACTGCTATATTATTCAACATCATTATAATTTGCAGAATTGTACAACCAGGACATATTGTAGGTAATGTGATTAGTCAGAGAAATTATGCAGTTTTAAAATTCACTAAAATTTTTATTGTGCCTTTCACTACTCTCACTTTATTTATTTCTGTGTTTTTCAATCCAGCATAGCAGAATATTTTCAATTTAAGTCATTTGATTTTATAATTGTAATAAAACTTACAAATCAAAATTAAATTAGAAACATTTTTATTTGCATTATTTCATTTGAGCCTCACAATAACCTAATGAGAACTACATTGCGATTATTAAATTTGCAAACATTAGAACATTATAAGTTAATGTGTAAGGATTTTGTGCTACATTAAAAAGGAAAGATTAATGTTAGTATGACTGGCAAAATAGCATCCTGGAGAGTTGTAATAAAAAGTTAAGGGATTGATTATTAAAAATGATCTCTTAGAATACAGGGGAAGGATCCGTGCTATCCTGCTTTTAGTGTGTCCGAAAGGCACGTTACTGTACATGGTAGTGGGGGCTGAGGACATAGCGTACTCCCTTCTGTCCTTCTGGCACCTCATAATTCAGGGTAGTGACAAGAAAAGTCTGCCTTGGTGTTCTGTAGTCAAGCGTAAATTATATGCACATCAAAAAAGGACACATTAAAATTCTTGTTTAGATATGGAAAGGTTTCAAGACAGTGAGGATGTGGGTATCATAGGATCAGAGGTGGGTACTTTAGAAATGTCAAAGATTTTGTGGTAATTGAGTTAAGTCCTTCTCAAATTATTGAGAAGATTTAAGATGTTCTTCTTCATGTTTATTTACAAATTTTGCTTGAGGACAGTAGGAAAATAAATTGAAGATATATATATATATAATATATCTTACTCGTCTTTATCTGTAAAATAGGGATAAGAACTACCTCAAAGGGTTTTTGGAGGAGAGCATGAGATAATGCATATAAGATGTTTAATAACATGCCTGGAACATAGTAAATGCTCAATAAACGTACCTTTTTAAAAAGTTGGTAGCAGCTGCTACTCTATAAATTCTCCTTATTATGTCTTTAATGAAAAAAATTCAGGTACCATGTTTCTAATATGCTATATATTATTAACATTTATTTTCCTTAGAGTTTTGATACCCGTTACTGGAAATACCTTTGTGGCCATGTCATGAAAGAATGAAGAACATTTGTATTTCATGTGAATATACATTTGTTTTATCAATATGATTATTCAGAAGTTGTCCGTTGATTTGCCTGTTTTCTAGGTAGTTAGATTTCATGGTGGCGCTCTTCCTGCTTACATTGTAGCTAACATTCTTCTTGCTTACGGAGGACAGTTATACTCTCTTTTCTCAGCAGGTGAGAATGTTGTCCCTCCCTCTCTCCCTCCCCTCCCTCAGTGCTGCAATACAATTCTTTATCTTTCAAGTGGCTAAGGAAGATACATCAATTTCTTGAAAATTTACAATTCATGTCTCTCAGGTTTGGTAGGATTTGACATCATCTAAGTTTTTCTTTTTGTTGTTGTTGTTGTTCAATTACAGTGGTCCCCATTTTTCCCTAAGAAAATATCTTACTTGTTTTCCCCATTTTATACTCTTGTGCCTGAAGTTTCTTCCCTCCATTCTGAGGACCTCTTAATATGTAGAGGCTTATCGACAGGGATCTTGTTCTCCATTTTATTCCTAGTGCCTAATATAGTGCCAAGCACATAGTAGGCATTCGTCGTAGTATTTGAGTTATATCAGCTGTATTAATTAAGTCCTGGCACACTGAATGGAATAATTGGGGACCTAGTATATGGTGTAGGATAACAAGACATGATAAAGTACTAGATTAACAGCAGAGCCATCTGATATCGTAGATACCAGGGCAAGGGAGAGAGCCAGCCTAGACAGCTGTAGGAGAGGAGGGCATGACTGCAGCTGCCGCCCTGGGTGCCGGGGCTCTGCAGCCACTCTCAGCCTGTATCTCAGCAGGAAAAAAGGTGGGAAATAAGCACACTAACCTTATTTCCATCCATTCTCCTATCTGCCAGTGCCGCTCATTCACTGACCCTAACTAGAAGCCAGTCTATAAAAGTCAGCAGCCCCCCCAAATTTAGAGCAAAATAGAGTGAAGAATGAATCTGGAGGAGAAATATGGAATATATATTGAATAGGATATTGGACAAGCCCTCCACAGAGAATAGTGATTAGACTAGTTTCTGAGGAGGCTCAGCTTTGTAAGGTCCTCACAAACTTGTGTTGGGACAGTAATCAAGGGAAGCAAGACGTAGGAAGAGAAAATGGGGCCAAAAATATATAAAAGCAGTCCAAAAATCTCCACTATTTCCATTTGCTGAGTCTTCCACAGCTACTCATTCCCTTTCAGTGTCGTTTTATAAGTTCCAGTCTGCCTTTGGTGCTCATTCTGACCTGACTTAATTTATATTCCAGGAAGAAAGAAGCAACTTTCAGTGAGCTCTGGCAGATCCAGTCTTTTAAGAGATTATTTGTCAATATGGCATCACCATACTTGAATATAAAATTTTTGAATTTTATATGTGTATACCTAGATAGGTCACAGAGACTCCAGGGACAGATGACACGGGGTTAATCTAGAGTATGGGATACTTAAGTATGGGATCATGTCTCAAACCACTGAAGTCATTCGAACCAAGGATGTCTGTCTGTCAAAAACTGTCGTGGGTCATACTCACTATAATGACTATAAATAAAAAGAGAGGTAATCACAAGTATTAATGAGGGTGTGGAGAAATTGGAACCTTCATACACTGCTGCTGGGCATGTAAAATGGTATAGCCGCTTGGGGAAGGAGGCTGGCAGTTTCTTAAATGGTTAAATAGAGTTACCAGATGACTCAGGAACTCCACTCCTAGGTGTGTATGGTGTGAAAACGTACACCCACACTAAACTTACGCACAAATGTTCACAGGAGCACTATTCGTAATAGCCAAAAAGTGAAACAGCCCAAGTGCCCATTAGCTGTTGAATGGAAAAACAGAATGTGCTGATACGTGCTACCATGTGGTTGAATCTTGGAAGCATGCTAAGTGAAAGGAGCCATTCACGAAGGACCACGTAGTATATGATTCCATGTACACGGAATGCTCAGAAACAGACCAGTCTACGGAGAAAGAAACCTAGATTACCGGTTGCTTTGGAATTGGGGGTGGGGGGCCATGGATGTAACAGGGAACAGAGTTTCTTTTGGGAGTAATAAAAATGTTCTAAGACTAATTGTGGTGATGGTTGTGTGATGAATATACCAAAAACCACTGAATGGCATGTGCTTTAAATGGATGAATTGTGTGGTATGAATGAGAATTATATCCAGTAAAGTTTTTACAAAATCACCTCTGGAGCTTTGTGAAAATACAGATGATAAAATCCCAGGCTTGGCTTCCAGAATTTGTTTCACAAATGATTGAATGTGTACTCTTGTATGAGAACCATTGAATTACAGTAATTTTTAATGTTTTATTTTTTTTACCAATTATCCCCTTTATACGCCCCTTCCCCCAGCAATCACCACAGTTGTCCACGTCCACGAGTCCTTTTTACTCCGCCCCTCCTCCCCTAACCATGCCCCAGACTGTCAGTCTGCCCTCTGTCTGTGAGTCTGCCTCTGTTTTGCTTGTCAGTTCAGTTTGTTCGTTAGATTTAATCTTTTGAGGAGCATCTCTGGGATAGTAGTGAAGACCCTGCCTTCTCTGACATAAAATATATTGCTCTTACAGACAGTTTTGGATATATGTCTCATCCTTTATTACTGTGATTAATTACTACATACAATTTTTTTAAATCACCAGGTCATTGCTTAGAATATGCTACTATGTTGGATAAAGAAGCCAAACCATACAAAGTTGATCCTTTTGTAATTATGATTAAGTTTCTATTGGGGTAAGTTTTATTATCTATGATAACTACTTTAAATGGTGTGTTGTATATAAAACATTATTTTTTTCCTTCATAATGGAATATAAGTTTTCACAAATATGGCAATTGACCTATTTTATTAAATGAGATTTTTCTCTTAGACAAAGGCTGGTAAGTATATCAACATTTACTTTAATAGGATAATCATTTCAAAGGTAATTATTAAACATATATATCAACCTAAACTTAGACTATAAACATAACAGACCTTTAACATTGACAGAGGGATGTATTTGGCCCATGATCTTTGACCATCTCAGCCCAGGTCATGCTACGGCTGCTCCAGGAAACTGATGAGGCAGCACCCCCAATCACTTTTTCTTACTTCTTATACAAAGGACATTTTCGATTTCTCTGCCCTACTTAACTGTCCATTCTTAATTTATACAAAGTTGGTTCTTGTTTAAGAGCCATTGCTTAGGTATTTTTTTCTTCTGTCATTAAAACTAGCTATTGGCTTCCTAACTTAAAAAAAAAAAAAAAAAAAAAAAAAAAAAAAGACCGCTTATTACCTGATCACAAGGAACAATAGAGAGCAGTGAAGCTGCACTGCAGTGCCCGACTCAGGTCCTGGGAGACCAGTGGCTCGCTGGGGAGAGAAGTGACTTGAGATCTGTTTTAGTGTAATTACAAAATAAGTGTCATGGTACTTTGGGTACTCTAGTGAATAGTCATACACCTCAGGTATTAAATCTTCAAATGTCAGTTGATTTTCTCTTGCTTTTATTCTGTATTTTCTTCTATCCACAGACATAAGTGGTTTAAAGAATTGTGGGATGTTTTCTTGTTACCAGAATTAGATGCCATCTTTTTAACTAGTCAGAGCATGTGCTTCCCCCTCGTGTCCCTGATTCTCTTCCTGTTTGGAACGTGCACTGCCCACTGGGGTGGCCTGCTGTCCTCTGCGTCGGTGCGGCTCCTGTCCTCGCTGTGGCTCGCTTTGAAAAGGTGAAGGAGTGACCGACAGCTTTCTCATTGCTCTTAGTTAGAAAAAAACATTGTATTCTGATGAGAACCTTAAAATTAATTTGCTTTCGCTAGACTAATTTCTAAGGAAAGGTTTGTAACTAGCAAAATGTGCATTAGTACTGGAAGTTATGTCATTGTCAGAGATAATCATTTATTGCAAGTTATACCACATTTGACCTATGAAAAAAGTTAGGCAGATTACCCAGGTATTTTTAAATATCACTGTTACAAAGACATAATTTGAAATAACTGGTAGGCTTTTCTGGTAAACCCCTGATCTCATTTCCTTTGCCACTCCTCCTCACCACGCTTGTCACATGGTTCACAGTCACAGAAGGGATTACGGTGTGATACTCCTTCCTTCTGAGGGTGTGAGTGATCTTGAGACTTTAAGAAATATCACACTTTTTTCACCTCAAGATCAGAAATGTATGGCACAGGGCCTATAAATATCTTTAGCAGCATTTTTCATCTTTAATACAAAAGTCAGCCACAGTGTATCTAAATGAAAGAGGAGCTAACACAATATTTGACACAATTTACAGTCAAATATGTGTCACTTCTTGCCTTTGTTAAAAACTATCTTACTGTTAACTTCGTGGTATTTGCCTATAAGTAAGCAGGAAAGCCTGGCAGGGTACTGATCATTGTTTTCCTCTTATATGTGACCGTATAAATAGCTATTAATAGTTTTATTCTTGTTTTTCCAGGCCCTCAGAACTTCCTAAAGATATCAAGATCATGTCATCAGACGTAACCATTTTGACCATTGTTTTGATCATAGTTAGTTGGGCGACTTGTGGAGCATTGGCCATACTTCTCACTTATCTGTACTATGTGATTAAGGTATGTGTCAGCCGATGCAGTCCGAATGGCTGGGCTGTGTGTGTATCAAGGCAGGCATAGAATTTTGTGGAGGTGTTGGTAACAAAAATTTCTAATGACCACTGCAGTAATCTTATCTTATATACCAGGTGTAATTTAAGGGTAAAGGTTTTTTAAAACATCTTAGTTATTTGAAATATGTAGTTAACTGTAAAACTGAAATGATTCATCTGAGTTGGGATTTGTTTTAAGGTTGGGGGAAGACATACTGTTTCAAATTGCTTCCTGCTCTTACAAGTCACGTTAACTAATTAAAAAACACTTTAGTAGAGCAATTTTTATTCACACCTCCCTTTGAACAGAGATTATAAACAAAACAAAAAGTTATGTCAGTAGGATCAAGCTCTCAGTCATGTTGAAATAATGTAAAATGCTACATATGTTGCTTAAGAATCAGAAGACAATAAAAAATAATCAGGCTGATCATCTTACTGGGGAAGTAAAAAAACACTTCCAAGAAAGCTGATAGCTTTGCAAGAAAATCTAGGTCATACACTGCATTCTTACCACATTAGTCTTATGTAGAGACAGTGGACACCAGAATGGATAATATTTTTCTTTCTTTCTAAACAAAGATTTATTCAGATGCCTCTGGGTTTGGAAGAGCCTTTGTCTGAAATATTCCAGTAGCTGTGTTTGCAAATGCTATATTTAATGAAGAAGTCAAATGGCATAATTTAGACCAAATTAATGATTTGGGAACCTGAACTATCCTGTTTTTTTCCTTCTTCCCACCTCTCTTTTGATTGTATTTATCAACCAAATAATTGCAAAATGTTGGGATAGCCAAAACATTTTTCCCCCATAAGATGGCTCTGGTAGCAGTTAATTGTCTTTAACTTCATTTGGAACAATTTTGTTAGAATGTATTGTGACAGCTGTCATATCAGTGTGCATTTTAAAAAACTTACCAAAATTGGGGAATTTTTGTGTAGCCATTTTAGTATAGAAGATGGAAGAAAATAAGCAACGTTTTTGCCGTGTTATGCTTTATTATTTCAAAAAAGGTAAAAACACAACTGAAACACACAAAACAATTGTGCAGTGTATGGAGAAGGTGCTGTGACTGATAGAATGTGTCGAAAGTGGTTTGCAAAGTTTCTTGATACCACTAACATTTTGACCAAATAATTCTTTGCTTTGGGGCTGTCTTATGCATTGGAAGATGTTTAGTAGCATCGCTGGCCTCTACCCATGAGAGGCCAATAGCAGGAGAGAGATGACATACTCAGAATATCCAAATCAAGATAATTACTGGTGGCCCTGGCTGGTGTAGTAGTTCAGTGGATTGAGCACTAGCCTGCGAACCAAAGGGTTGCTGATTTGATTCCCAGTCAGGGCACATGCCTGGGTTGCAGGCCAGGTCCCCAGTGGGGGCCATGTGAGAGGCAACCACACATTGATGTTTCTCTCCCTCTCTCCTTCCCTTCCTCTCTCTCTCTAAATAAATAAAAAAAATTTAAATAATAATTACTGGTGAAAATGAAAAATGTGTCATTTTATGGAAAAAACTAAATGGACTTTTTGGCCAACCCAGTACATATACATTATATATTATTTTCATCACACACACACAAAAAAAACTATTTAGAGCTGCTTTGGTTTATAAAGGAAATATTTTGAATTTTTTAATTGATTATTTCAAACAACCAGCCCAATAAGCAAAACCTGTTCAAATACTTAAGCAAATCTAGTAATTTAAACTTCCAGACTTGCTCAGATTCTTGTAAACATTTCACCACCAAATATAATTGAGTTTAGATCGTCAAAGACTTGGAATATATAAAACATGTTACTCTTTCTACTATAGTGAATATAGTCCATTTTTTTTACTCAGAAGACATTTAAGTCGCTATAGTGAGGCCTCCCTCAGGACCTCCACAATGTGAAAGCTGTCACGGTGTGTCCCGGCCCGAGATGCTCTGGAAGATCATAGTCTCTTGTTTCTGTTTTCTGTCTGTGACAGCAAGTGTGTGTAGTTTTTCTTTATCTTTTTTAAACTTTAGTTTACAGTGCTTCTCAGTTTTGATATAAATGGTTGTTTTTGTTTCAAAATAAAAGCAAAATTAAATGGTCTTTTTTTTTCTCCTAGATTGTTCATCTGCAAGCCATTCTAACAAATTTTAAAAATAGCCAAACTGTGGTAAGTTTTATTTTCAAAACTCTACATCACTTTAACATGAAAGAACATGGGAAATTTTAGTTTTTTTTTTAATATTGGTATTTTACAGTGCTTAAAAGGGATTATGAATTTAAAAAATTTTAAGGAAATTGAAGCTAATCAATATTAAAATAGATTTACATTGTCTAAGTTTAATTTGATCTTTGTCAATACTTGTTATAAGTTATATTTTAAATTTTGTTTTTGAGTAATTTAGAGGATATATTCTCAGCATAGGAATAGCAAATCAAAGGAATAAAAGTTTCATAACTGATAACCACTTTAAAACAAAGTAATTTCAGTATATCAATTTTATATCAGAAAGATGTATTTATTTGGCTATTAAGTAATTGGATAGGATTCTAAATAAACAAATTTTACTTAACATGTTGATATTTTTACTTTATTGGTTTGCAGAACCCAAAACACCCTAGAAGAAGTGAAAAAAAATCCAACCACCATAAAGACTCTGCAGCACACCATCTTCGTTTGTCTGCCGGTGATGCTGAGGACAGTCTCCGCATGCACAGCACTGTGATCAACTTACTCACCTGGATCGTGTTACTCAGCACGCCGTCCTTAATTTACTGGTTCAAGAACCTTCGGTGCGTTCTATTTATGTGATTATAATTCATGCGGTGAGTAGGAACTTGCCAGATTCTGGTGGTCCATGGTACTTACTACCTCAAGCACCTCACAATATCCCCTGAAATTTATTTTTACTATATCCACATTTTCTCCCTTACCATGAAAATGTAAAAACTTTGGGAAAATAAACATCCCCAAACTCTTCCCCCCAAAAGAAGGATATGTCACCTTTAACCTTTTTGACCTACACATGTGAAAGTGTGCTTTGTTTTGTTGACTTAAGGTATTTCATAATGCTAGTACTTTATTTTTCTTTGGTTTTTTTTACTTTTTTAATTGTTGTTCAATTACAGTTGTCCCCATTTTTCCCCTATTACTCTCCCTTGCCCTGCCCACCCTATTTATTTTTCAATTCGTGAGCAATTGAAATGTTTTCAATTTTATATTTTCTTAAATTTAGGGGGAGGTTAAAAAATTCGAAATAGTGAAAGAAGTGGGTACCTCTGCTTTTTAAAAATTTTATTTTTAGACAGAGGGGAAGGGAGGTAGAAAGTGAAAGAGAGAAACATCAGTATGTGGTTGCCTCTCGAACGTTCCCCTCTGGGGACCCGGCCTGCAACCCAGTCATGTGCCCTGACTAGGAATTAAACCAGCAACCCTCTGATTCATAGGCTGGTGTTCAATCCACTGAGCTACATCATCCAGGCAGAAGTGGGTACTTTTTAATGTGTCCCATATAACTAAGTAAAATAAATGATCAGCTGTCTTACTACTGGAAAACATCATTTCCTTTCCTACCAGATAAGTGGCCTAGGTCAAATAAGAGTCTGAAATGCCCTCCAAAATATTTCTAGAATATTTAGTTATTGATAAGTTGTTTTAAAAAATAGTCTACCTGTCTAAGTAATAATCAAACCTCTACTCAATATAGTTTACAGAAATCATATAAAACTTTTAGATTCTCTAAATGCTGGAAGTATTTAATTTTAAAATTGGCAGAACCAAAATAAGTGTGATAAATTAAGTCACAGATTACCAGATTTTAATACCCTTCCTATGTCCTTCATTTTAGTCAAGATCCAGATTTTTGTTAACAGATTTGGGGACAATATTATTATTTTTTTTTAATTTAAGAAGTACAGATTTATGATTCTGAAAGTCTATAATTGTTTCCCTGTCAATAAGTGCAAGGAATGAGAATTTGAATTTTAGAAAGATAAGGAACCTATTATTTGATATAAACATTTATTTTTTTTATCTTTTTAAAATAGAGCAACCTTAATATATTTTAAATAATTTGTTTTATAAAATTTGCATAGGAACTTTTAGGTATATACTTATAAAAAAGGAAATGCTTTTATAGTGAATATTTTCATTTCCTTTAGTAGTTTCTGAACATAATTTTTCATATGAAACTTGGATATATGCCCTGGCCAGTGTGGCCTGGTTGGTTGCAGTGTGTTGCCTGTAAGTCAAAAGGTGGCGGGTTTGACTGTGGTGAGTGCACATGCCTAGGTTTCGGGTTCAGTCGTGCCCCCCCCCCCCCCAGATCAGGGCACATGCAAGAGGCAACCAGTCAATGTATGTTTCTCACAGCGACGTTTCTCTCTTCCTCTCCTACCTTCTCTTCTCTCATATCAGTGAGCATGCCCTCAGGTGAGGATAAAAAAATGAACAAAAACAACTTGGGTATAAAGATGATTTAGAGCAAAAATTATTAATATACTTTATTGATTATGCCATTACAGTTGTTCTATTCCCCCCTTCATTCCCCTCCACTCTGTACACCCCCTCCCCCACCATTCCCCCTCTTTAGTTTATGACCATGTGCCTCAAGTTCTTTAGATTCTATATTTCCCATACTATTCTTGCCCTCCCCCTATCTATTTTCTACCTACCGTCTATGCTACATATTTTCTGTACCTTCTCCTCCCACTCCCCTGTTGCTAACCCTCCATGTGATCTTCATTTCTATGGTTCACTCCTGATCTAGCTGTCCTCTTAATTTGCTTTTGTTTTAGGTGTGGTTGTTGATAACTGTGAGTTTGCTGTCCTTTCACTGTTCATCTTTTTTATCTTCTTCTCCTTAGATAAGTCCCTTTAGCATCTCATATAATAATGGCTTGGTGATGATGAACTCCTTGACCTTATCTGAGAAGCACTTTATCTGCCCTTCCATTCTAAATGAAAACTTTGCTGGATAGAGCAATCTTGGTTGTAGGTCTTTGGTTTTCATGACTTGGAATACTTCTTTCCACCCCCTTCTTGCCTGTAAGGTCTCTTTTGAGAAATTGAGAAATCAGCTGACAGTCTGATGGGAACTCCTTTGTAGGTGACTGTCCCCTTATCTCTTGCTGCTTCTAGGATTCTCTCCATTTTAATCTTGGCTAATGTAATTATGATGTGCCTTGGTGTGTTTCTTCTTGGGTCCAACTTCTTTGGGACTCTCTGAGCTTCCTGGACTTCCTGGAAGTCTATTTCTTTTGCCAGATTGGGGAAGTTCTCCTTTGTTATTTGTTCAAATAAGTTTTCCACTCGTGGCTGTTCCTCTTCCTCATCTGGTACCCCTATAATTCGGATGTTGGAACGTTTAAAGATGTCCTGAAGGTTCCTAAGCCTGTCCTCATTTTTTTGAATTCCTGTTTCTTCATCCTATTCTGTTTGGTCATTTTCTTCCTTCTGGTCCAGTCCTTTGATCTGAGTCCCAGTTTCCTTTCCATCACTATTGGTTTCCTGTGCATTTCCCTTCATTTCAATGAGTTTAGCCTTCATATGTTCCTCTAACTTGTGGCTAAAATCAACCAGTTCTGTGAGCATCCTGATCACCAGTGTTTTGAACTGTGCCTCTGATAGGTTGACAATTTCTTGTTTGCTTAGATTTATGGGCTCTGGGGCTCTGAGTTGTTCTTGAGCCATGTTTTGATCTGTTTGTGCCTGTTACATATGAGGAGAGGAGCCTTAGGTATTCACCAGGACGGGGCCACCCTGGTCGCTGGTTTGTGATGCTGTATGTGGGGGCGGGGTCAGAGAGGGACAGTGGCAGTCCCCTCTGCCGCTACCCACTGCTGGGGCCTGCGAGGTCCGTGTCACTGCTTGCTCCTTCACCAGTTTATGGGCACGAGAATGTGTGACCACGGTCAACCCTCAGTGGGTCCACCCGCTGCTCCACACCTGGGATCCGCCCACAGCTGCTGGCACACCTGGATCTTGTGCCCAAGTCAGTCTGGTGGATCTTTCCTGCCCAACCCCACTTTGCTGCTGGCTCTGTCCCTCTTACTGGTTTGGCTGAAGAGTTTGTTGTTTGTCAGACTTCCATATAATTCAATTTTCTGTGGTTTGGCTGCGTTTTTGTTGCTAAAACTTTGTTGTTTTTAAACTTGGTTGTGGGAGAAGGCACAGCATGTCCACCTATGCCTCCATCTTGGCGGAAGTCCCCTAGAGCAAAAATTATTTATCAAAGATTTCATGCACTATTTAGAACTCTCTTATATCTGTGATGCTACTAGAATGTTTTGAAAATTATTGAATTTCATTTTGATACTTTAAAATGATCTGGTGTGCTTTGTTGATTTATTTTTTTCTTCTCTTTGATACAGGTATTACTTTAAACTTAATCCTGATCCATGTAAACCTTTGGCATTTATCCTTATTCCAACTATAGCAATTCTTGGAAATACTCACAACATTTCAATAAAGTCAAGGTATGCTTAATCTTTCTTTTTCTCATATCTATTCCTAGTCTTAATCACCCTTTATTTTATGAATGAAGCATGTTCTTTATTCCTAATACATTGACTATTCCTAAAGGGAAAGCTATAATGTAATTATGGAATATATGTAAATATAGTTTATACGAAAGTATATTATACTTGCTTTCTTAATTATGGGTTTTACTTATTAGGAGATAATAATGTGTTTTTTTTTAAAGTTAACCCTTAAAATATATGATGTCTAAGATTTGCTTCCAAAAAAATATAGGAAGTGTTGCACTGCATGGTATCTGCATTTAGCAGTTTATTCCTGCTGGGTGTTCAAAGGACAGTGCAGTATAAATTCGGTATCTGGCATCGTTGGTTTTCTTGGCTTTGTGCATGTTAAACCTGGTATTTTTACTGATACAGTATAAAATGTGTGTGTATATGTGTGTGTGTGTGTGTGTGTGTGTGTGTACATATATATATTTATGAAGTGGATAGGAATGTATAAGTAAAGGAAATTTGGCCATGACCTGATAATTTTTAAAGTTGGGTGATGGGTACATGAGGTTCATTATACTGTTAGTTTACTTAGGTACATGTTTAAAATTCTCCATAATAAAACTTGACTCTTCATTGACTGGTTGTTTCCACTCAGAGCCTTTTCCATCAATTCTGGCAGACATTTGCCAGATATTCGAGAATCAGGCCAGCCTGGGATTTAAATCTTTGCTCTGTTATTTAATAGCTCTATATATGCCTTAGGCAAGTTTCTTAACCCCTGTTAATCACACTTTCTCTGTTTTCAAAGTAAAAGGTGATAGACTTTCCTGATAGAGATGCTTCTTGACTTATGATGAGGTTAGATCATGATAAGCCCATCATAAACTGAAAATACCATAATTCGAAAATGCACTTAATACTACCCTTGAGTACTGGTTGTTTACCCTCCTGACTGCATGGCTGACTGGAAGGTGCAGCTTCCTGCTGCTACCCAGCATCAGGAGACCATATGTTACCACCTATCGCCAGCTGGAAAAAGATCAAAATTCAAAAGTCGAATTGTAACTTCTACTGAATTCATGTTGCTTTCACACCATTGACAAGTCAAAAAATCCTAAGTCTAACAATCATAAGTTGGGGACCATCTGTATTTTTCCTTTAAAAATACTTAGTGTCTTGTCTTGTATTCTCCTGTTAGGAATTAAAGATGGTTCCATTTTCATTTGGTTGAAGGTTTTTTTTTTCTATTTTTAAGTAAGGTGAAATATTTCTGTAGCTAAGTCTTAGTAAACTTTATTGATTATATTTGTTAGGATCAATTTCTAAAGTTAGGTAGAATCACTGAGTAAAAGCCCAACTAGTATTTTGCTGTTGTTAAAATTTTAAAGACTAAACAAAACTAGTTCTTTACTTATAGAAATATTTTTATAGCTAAAATATGCCTTAGATTGATAATTTAAAAAATTATCAACAGTTAAATTCATTATATGAAAAAGACTTCATCTAAAATCACTTAGAACACTTTCTCAAAACAGTATAAATGATCAACATGTTTTGTTTGTGCTCACAATGTACGTAATATATCTTTCTCTCTTTTTACAGTAAATTGTTGAGGACTGCTTCACAATTTCCACTTCCTCTGGCTATTGGTGTGATTGCTTTTGGGTCTGCACAGTTATACAGGGTTCCAAGTTGTGTTTTCATTTCTCTTTTCCTCCATGCATTATGTAACTTTATGTAGGGTTGGATCTAAGGGATGGTGATGGTGATTTTGACCCTTAGGGTCACTAGTAAGAGAGGTTGCACAGATCCGTCAGTACAGACAAGATGCTTTGGAGAAGACACGTCTATTTTTACAATGTTGAAAACAGGAAATTAGTTTTGTAATGCTTGAAGAGAGTAGTTGAAGCATGGTTCTGTTTGGTGGTGTGACATCTGTGTAATACTCATTTTTTAAAAAATTGGTGGACACTATCTTGGAGGACTCCTCTGCATATCAGCTCGTCTGCTTGGCTGGTCACACGAGGGAGCTTCTCCTAAACACCCAGTAAATGTAAAGCATTTTTCGTGACCTCACCTCAAGCATTTTGCTCATTTCATCAAACTTTCTTCTGAAAAATGGGTTACTTTGTATCTACAGTGCGTATTGAGAAAATCGTTTTAAAAGATTAATGAAATTCACAACCATCTGCTCTCTCCCAAATGGAGTAGCCACAAAGAGTGTTTGGCCTGTCCTCAGCAGCCGTGGCGAACCACCTAGGTCTTTTGTTTTCTCACATCTGTGAAAACACTGCTTTTTATTTTAAGGAGACGTGTTTTCTTAGTAACTGATGGAACACCAGTGGACAGAAATAATTCAAACTTCCAACTTAATGAAATGTTCTTGTTGCTTTACAAATGCAAACCTTAGCTTTATTCCTGGTGAATTTGAGGAGACTCATTACAGAGATCTGTTGTTAAACTTGAAGAAAATCCCCAATGACACTGACTTGCTGGGATTGGAACACATCAGTTATTCGTTCTATACTGTTTCCTTTACCAGTTTTACCATTGACCCGTGGTTGCCAGAAGTGCCTCAGGTCCAGTTACTAAAATAACATTCCAGTGGTCAGAAAAAACTCCAGGTTTTCCGTTTTTGACTACTGTGGGAAGAAATTAGCATGATCATGTACAGTACCGCATTTGGTGTATAGAATTATACTGTTAATGGAGTAACAGACAGACTGGTGCTCCACTAATAGCATAAGTATGAACAGTGAACCTGAATAAAGTACAGGCTGTAGCCTCTAGGTTTAACAGTGCAATCCTAATTTGCCAAGGTGATCACTGTTTGACAGGTAAGAGAATGATATTTCTATATTTCACTTCAGATTTCAGCTCATTTTTAACTACAAGAGTAGGAAGTAGGTAATGGAGCTAGGTATCTTTGCCTTAAGAAAGGATAAACTCAGGCTGAGGTGTATCTGGCTGATAGAGCCCTTCCTTTAGATGTATATGCTGTAAATACCTAAAACCTCTCAAGTCCTTAAGTCTCAGTAATTCCACTGTTGCACCTGTGAACTTGTGTCCTTCTTAGTATTAGAGTACCAAGTTCATCTTATGTGCCGTTGCATCTGGATTCCATTAGAACCTCTCAGCTGTTACTGCCTTTGGAGGGTTATCCCCACATTCCTGCTGGTCACTCCAGGAATGAGTCACTCCACAGGGTCGCTCCACTTCTCTTCTCAGTTGTTCCTCAGGTCCTTGCTCTTTTGGCATCAAAGAGGGTCTTGCTGTTATTTCTGAGGCTTGTAAGTTTGTTTGATTCCATTTTTGTCTTTCCCAACTTCATGCCTATTGTTCAGAAGTCGTATTTTCACTTTACCAATTCCATTAAAGAGAAGTGGTAACCTCATAGTGTAGTGTTCATGGCAGACATACCAGGCTCTTATTTGAGACAAGTAGCAAAAGGGATAAAATACAAAATGCTTATGTGTTCAGTACCTGAAAGGAAAGAGAATGTATTAGATTATACCCCCATCCCATGGACCACCACACATATGTTTCAGTAAGGACACATCTGCCAACGTGTAACTTATACATGTTCTCATAGGCAACTTCTGCACACAATGTGTCTGTTATTTTCTTCATGGGTGTAATTGTATTTCAAGTTACAGATTAAATGTGTCGCTTAACTATTTCTGAATTCAAACTTAGGTTTACACACAGAAAGAACTTTAGAAATAGTTGTTAATTTGAATCCCTTTGACAGCCGTGATCACTGTTTCGTGTTGTGAAGTCTCCGTGTTTGGTGGGTGCTGCTCATGAACGCAGTGTAACTAACGAGCTTCAAGTTCCCCCTCCTGAGTAGTGGTGTGCATTAGCTTTTTAGAGCAGCAGGCGAGGCACACTCATTGTCGTTAACAGATCTCCTGGGAGTGTAGTTATCAAGTTCTAAAGTCTTACTGGTTCTAACAAAACATTGCATCTTAGAGCTGCAAAAAGGATTCTAATTAAACATTTGAGAAATGACAGTAGGTTGGGTCTTTAGCCATTGTATACATAAATATACAGACTTTTTAAAACATTTCCACAGGGTCTTCACCAAGTCTTGATGCACTTTAAGCCCAAATAACTACCAGAGAGGAGAAGGTAGGCTCTGAAGATTAGCAAATGTGGATGTTTCTGTCACTCAAGTGAAGGAAAGCGCTTTTCTGTTTCCATCACGGATTGTTTCTGTCGCGCTTAGGACCCGTGTCAGCTGGCGGAGCAGCTCGGCCTCGACAGGGCTGTCACTGAACACGGGACTGTGTATTGGTGGTCGGGGACTGTCCGGTTCAGCAACCCTGCTGTTTGTTGATACACTTTTATTTAGAACTTGCTGAGTTTTGAGTAACTGAGTAACTTTTTGCTTATAAAAATTACTCCTGGTCCTTATGGTTGGTAATGGGATCAGACAGAGACAGGCAGGAGAAACAGTAGCACTTGCACTGTTTCTAAAGCTTCCCCCAGAGTTACGACTCTTACAGTTTACACCTGATAACACATAGAAATCGTCAAAGCCCTTTTTCTTGGATCTCCTTCCTGCCAGAAATTAAACAGGTTCTGCTAAGTGTTTCTTCATTTGTCACCAGAATGGAAATATTCAAAAGAGCGGTCCTAAAAAAACCACTTGTGCCTGATTAACATTGATTTTTTTTTTAGTCTCTTTAATATACATTGATCATGTATCAGTCTTCATATATATGTATATATTTTTTTTTGGTCAGATAAATTTAGATATATAATGGAAACCTTTTCTTGATCCAACTCCACTATGATACCTACATGATTATATAGTAGGGAAAAAGAAGGAGGGCACTCCAGTAGGCCTAGAAAACGTTTGTTGTGGATTTACTGTGTCAGTCATGCAGCCGTTTCTTCCTTACACCGACGCACGGGAGGCATAGTGTCCGATCTGTTCTGTATCTGGTTCTGACACTTACCTTCAGAACTTCCACTTGTAGCATACTTCATTTACTTCACCCCACTGCTCACTAGCACTTCTTATAGAAGGTGGTCAAGGAAAATAAAAGGAAGTAAAACTGTTTTCAGTTCAGTTCCTGAAAGCTCTGGGGAAAACGGGGGAAGCACAAAGACCGTGAGACAGACTAGGGCAGTTGATTACGGAACCCCCCAGGTTGGCCTATGTTTACATCTTACACGTTAGGTCTGAATTAGTGTAACGTCATACTTTATTACAAGGTTTAGTGCAGAACTTTACAGTGTTGCATTTGCAATTTTAGTAAATTAAAATCAGTTAGGAAGAAGGTGTGAATGTGCTGTGACTTTCTATGACCAGGCATTGTGGGTTGCCTTTCATCAGCAGCCTTTGATTTCTCAGTATGTCTGGGGAACAGGACACCTTGGGAAGTCGGGGTGGAGGGGTCAGTTTGGAGAGCATGGCACGCCCCAGGGTGAAGGAGGCACAGAAATGTCTTTGTATTATGAAATTAGACCCTGACTGAAAACCCTGTTGCCACATAAGGTAAATAAATAAATGTAGAAGACATTCTAGGAAATGGCAAGGTGATGGGGAGCTGTATTAGCCCGGTCTTTTTGGATAAAGGACATTTCGATTTCTTTCAGGAACTCTTGTTTATTCTTTTCCAATAAGTTTTAACAGCCTGAGGAAATAGAAAGCTATGAAGCTACTCACATTTTTTATTGTTAATAAGGAGGATAGGAAAGAAAAGTCAGGTCAGTAATCCAAATGTGTGTACTTAAATGTCCAAGAACTCGCTTCCCTTGATAATGTATTCTGAATACAGAAGAATGACTTATGTATATTAATAACTTAAGAATGGAGTAAAATTTGGAAACAGTGAGAATAGGCTACTATTCATTAATAGTATAAATACTAGGATGGGCAACAGTAGGTTTACAGTAGTTCACCTGGAAAGTAAATGATACAATAATAAAAACACAAAAGTAAACTGTGTCTCGTGTACCCACAACTGTAAACCTGGTTTTGCCTGCCCCTGTGTCACACTGCACAGGGATTGGTAACACGTCTTTCAAAAGCTAGATGATCTTATCAGCTACACTTTGATTACATTGTCCACGGCTGAAGTTTTTTAAATCAAGTGCGGCAGGTACTAAAAGTGGCACGTTATGCTTCCAAAAATGGCTGTTTTGAAATACCAAGTAACCAGTTACTTTCTGATGACTTTGTATAGAACTTGATGTATATGAGTCAGAATTATTCTGCACTGATTCCGTACATTGTAACTTTGAACACTTATGATGTATTTTGATTAGTGAAGTGTAAATTTGTTTGCATATTTGAATTCTAATCTTAATTTAGGAAGTCTAAAGGTAGCCATTTTTGTAAAGTTAGTATGCTGGTTTTTTTAATGTTATCTTGGTTTTTAGTATTTGAATAGTAGTGAAGTTACTAGTAAAAGATTTATACACAAAGCATAGAACTATTACCTGTTCAAAAGCCTAACCGATAGGCATATTTTATATTTCATACTGCACTTGTTTTGTTTCATATTGGACTTTTGGACTTTTTACATCTCTTTTTTAAGAAAAAAAAGACACACTTGTTTTTTTGTTTTTTGTTTTTTTTTAGCATAAACCTCCACATTGTAAAACAAAACTGTGTTCATATGGTTAGCAAAACACACATTGCCACCAAAGCTAAGCGGAAATGTAAAATACCTCTAGACGCGTGTGCCAATGAACTCTTCTTAGCATATTGGGATTAAAGCAAAAATAATTTTTCAGTATTTTCCATGTAGGACTTATACTAAATATGTAAATCCTCACAACTTATATTCTGTACACTAATTTTTCTTTGAAAATATACAAAACTTATAGCACAGTCATATCCTATTTCATCTGATTTCTGAAATAATGTTCTCTGATTTGGGGCATAAAAGTTAGTTTACCCAATAATGATCTTTCAGTAATTAGTTGAGGTAATCATTTGAAGCAGTTTTACTTTAGATTCATTCTGTGACGTGAAACTAAAAATTTGTTGCACAGATCGTTTTTAGTGCAGGCGTCTCTCTTGCTTATGCAGTGAAAGTTTATAGAATTTGCTGTCTGTGTATTTCCATTCAGTCCCTTCATACAGTGACATGTTTCACAGGAGAAAAGTGTCCACTGGAGCCTGACGTAGTGCAATGAGGTAAATATTTTTAAATGCACATCTGAAAGGAAAATATTTTAAAAATCAAGGTGTTAATGCTGAAGTGTTAATATTGGTAAAGTGTTGTACTCTTGAGAGAAAAGTAGAAATATGATAAACTCAAAAACTGTGAATTTTACCTGGTTAAAATTCTTTAGTTTCTCCCCTGTACAAATTCTCGAAGGGAGTTTTAGTTCCTCATGTTACAGTACTTCCCTTAACGTCACTTGCCGTTCCTGTGCCTCACGATGCTGGTGCAGTTCGCCCGGGCAGCCTTGGAAGTAAAGAGGCAGCTGAGAAAGCCAAATATGAAACTGTTTAGCATTGATTTAGTGACAGTTTATCCGATAATCTGGTGGGGACTGTGGATGTTAGTAAAAAGATGACTTAAAAATTAAGTGAACTCTGTATTTTGGAATGAGTTTGTCCTTTGTGTTGAATAATTTTATCCTAAGTAGGTGATGCCTGTATTTAACATAACCATACTTTCTCCATAATCAAATATATATTTATTTGAATATTGGTAGAAATAACCTTCTCTTCCTCTGCTGTGAAGGGGAAAAACTCCAGTTTTTAGTGTATATAAATTAGGAAATTGTATTGTATATTTACATTTTTTAAAATACAAAAATGACTTAAATATGTTATTTTTAAGTGATTGTATTGTGGTTTTTTCAACTTATGACTAACTAAATGTAGCAATGTACCCATGAGAAACCAGACCAAAATTGAATGCATATTATTATCACTGTGACCTTGAACTTATAGTCGTTGGAGATAAAATAGACTGTGCCTTAAAATGATGAAGGAATGCCCTGCAATTTTATAACTGTGTATTTTATTATGGGTGGTCTTCTCAAATTGGCCCCAACTCCTTTTTTTATTTTTTTGAGGTTGGCGAAGTAAAAAATTTAAATAAAAGTATTTCCCTAAGTATTTGCAGAACTTTTGCTCTAAAGGCAGCTCTTAACTTTCAGAGTCTCATTTCAAATTAAAATTGACTTATACTTTACAGATACAGAAGTTTATGTGTGGCAAAAGTTTATGAAAATACTTTTTAGGAAGATGGTGGTGACACTTCTGTTCTGAATTTATTATACGTGGAAAGATTAATCTTCAGTGTAGTTTTTTGTCTTTTTTAATAAATATCAAGACAAATTCTCCCCTAAGCCACAAGGAAAAAGTACAAACTTTTTTTCCCTCAGATTATTGAGGTTTATATTTAGGTGTAAGGTAAAGTAATTTAACTGAATAATGATTTTTCAGTAAACTAAAATTCATGTAGTATCTTTTTAAATATTATTTTCCCCTTTTCTGTTTTTCTTTTTCTTTCCTAATTATTTTTAAGATTTGAGAGAACTGGCTGCAGTTTTGCTTGTTTCTCTAATGTAAAGGCTTGCATTTTTACAATGCTTATTTAAAATTCTGGATATAATTTCTATTAAAACAAATTATTGCATTCATAGAATGTTCATGGTCTCTGCCAAAAGAAGCCCACATCTCTCATAAATTGTTGTATTTTAATTTTGAATGTAAATGTAACACATCTCTTTCTTCCCATTTTGTGTTCACTACCTTCCCATAAAGACGTAAGTACAGGTTTCTCTAAAAGTACGCAGAAACAAAGCAAGTCTCTCCTTACAGCGTGGTTCGACTGACTTGGAAGTAGTTTGGGCGAGGGTATGTAACCAAATAATGGCTGTTAACCTACGTCAGTGTTTGTATTACAATTAAAAGCTTATAGAAGATAAACTGTGTTATGCTGAGTTGGACTCAGTGTTCATTTATCTGCAAATTGATCATTTTGTTCTCATCTAGAAAATGCAATGAATAGTAACAATAAGTACAAAGAAATCTGTCCTATAGTGTATACTGAAAAATACTGTCACCTTGCAGCTCTTTCATTTAAACATGCATGATATTTTCCAGCTTTGTACAGTATATGGTGTGCTAAATATATTTATGTGTAATTTTCTGTGTATTTTGGTATGGTATATAATTAACATTATGACATTAACTGGTTGTAATTCACAAAATGCAATTTATTGTACTCTGTAGAGTGGTGAATGTTTTTATCTGTGTTTCAACATTATGGTGTGGGGTTTAACAGGTGAATATTTGCCCTAAGTCTCTGCTCAGGTATTAATGTGTAGCAATTTTTGGTGCTTTCTTTCCAATCTGTCATAATCGGGTGTTCTGAATGTTCAACAATAAATCTGGTGAACAAGAACATTTGGTGCAGAGTTTGCTTGCCATTTCACATACACTCCATATACCATCTCTCTCTCTCACACACACACACAGACCCTTAAAAATGACTGTAGCCTGTCCAGCATTTCAGAAATTTGAATGCCTATGTGTGGGATATGAAAAACATGATACATCACAGGTAAATGTTGGCAACAAGGTCAACTTATTATTTCCCGCTTTGGTATTTTGTAGTTTTCCACATTCATTTGTGTGGACATTTTGTGGTTCACGTTCAGTTTTAAGGAATTGCACAGTTATATTTCTGCCAGAGACCACACTCTCCACTCTCCCTACACTAACTCGATATACTATACATTCCTGGGCGCCCGTTTTCCTAAATTCCATGAGAATGGGAATGATTTACACACGGTTTGTAAAGATTTTCATTTGTCCCAGAACTCTAAATTTGATCTGAAAGGAAGAGGCCTGGGATTCTGTGTTAACAAGTGCCCCAGATAGTAATTCTCCAACATTGCTTCAGTCAGTAAAATTTAACTTGCCAGGGCTCCTAGAAAGACTGCCCTTGGGATTACAAGGTGCCGGAAGAAACACTGCGTAGTGTAAGAAGCCAGCACAACTTCCGCCAAGATGGAGGCGTAGATGGAAACACCTTGTGTCCGCACACATCCAAATCTAAAAACAGTAGAGTTTTAGCAACAATAAACACAACCAAACCACACAGAAAATTCGACAATACAGAGTCCGAAAACAACGAAATGCTCAGCTAAACCGGCGCGAACAGACCAAAAATGGCTCAAGAACAACTCAGAGCCCCAGAGCCGATAAATCTAAGTGTGGAAGAAATAGCCAAACTTCCAGATGCACAGTTCAAAACACTGGTGATCAGGATCCTCACAGAACTGGTTGATTTTAGCCACAAATTAGAGAAATATATGAAAGCTAAACTAATTGAAATGAATGGTAATGCACAGGAAACCAATAGTAATGGAAAGGAGACTGGGACTCAAATCAAGGGAGTAGACCAGAAGGAAGGAAAAAATGACCAAACAGAAAAATATGAAGAAACAAGAATTCAAAAAAATGAGGAGAGGCTTAGGAACCTCCAGGACATCTCCAAACATTCCAACATTCGAATTATAGGGGTACCAGATGAGGAAGAGGAAAAGTCACGAGTGGAAAACTTATTTGAACAAATAATCAAAGAGAACTTCCCCATTCTGGCAAAGGAAATAGACTTCCAGGAAATCCAGGAAGCTCAGAGAGCCCCAAAGAAGTTGGACCCAAGAAGGAACACACTAAGGCACATCATAATTACATTAGCCAAGATTAAAATGAAGGAGAGAATCCAAGAAGCAGCAAGAGATAAGGGGACAGTCACCTACAAAGGAGTTTCCATCAGACTGTCAGCTGATTTCTCAATTTCTCAAAAGAGACCTTATAGGCAAGAAGGGGCTGGAAAGAAGTATTCCAAGTCATGAAATCCAAAGACCTACTACATCCAAGATTGCTCTATCCAGCAAAGTTTTCATTTAGAATGGAAGGGCAGATAAAGTGCTTCTCAGATAAGGTCAAGTTCAAGGAGTTCATCATCACCAAGCCATTATTATATGAAATGCTAAAGGGACTTACCTAAGGAAAAGAGGATAAAAAAGATGAACAGTGAAAGGACAGCAAACACAGTTATCAAAAACCACACCTAAAACAAAAGCAAATTAAGAGGACAGCTAGATCAGGAGTGAACCATAGAAATGAATCATGTGGAGGATTAGCAACAGGGGAATGGGAGAAGAGGGGAGAAGGTACAGAAAATAAGTAGCATAGAAAGTAGATAGAAAATAGATGGGGGGAGGGTAAGAATAGTAGGGGAAATACAGAATCTAAAGAACTCGAGACACATTTTCATGAACTAAAGGGGGGGGAATGGTGGGGGAGAGGTGTGCAGGGTGAAGGGGAACGGAGGGGGGAATAGAACAAATGTAATGGCATAATCAATTAAAAAAATGTTTAAAAAAAAAAGCCAGCATAGCCGTAAACTTAATTATAAAATGAATGAGAGGAGTAAAATGAGGGGTGGGGGGCTGGGGCATCCTTTGAGGTGTGTTTTATATGTTGATTGGAAGTTTTTTTACTAAACTCTGTTAACCAGGATCTCTAAATATGTGAACATGTATAAATTACCTGCATGTACTAACATTAGCTATATTTTAAATATACCCCCCAAAGTAAAATTTTAAAGAGGAGAAATACACAGCTAGAAGTCTTAATATTTTATTTGAATACTAAAGAATTATCTTGAACCAATAACCAGAGGGGAAGGGGGAGGGGACAGTGGGGAGAAGGGTTTTCAGGAACTACTATGAAGGACACATGGACAAAGCCAAGGGGGGGGAGAGGGGGGGTTTGTCTGGGGTAAGGGGGAGTGATGGGGGGGGAATCCAGACAACTAATTGAACAACAATAAAGTAATTTTTAAAAAAAGAATTGTCTTGAACCCACCCCAGTATTATTGGCCACTTGAGCATACAGCGTGAAAGCTTCATAAGCCTTTCCAAAAACCCTTTGTTTTTGTCCCTTTTTTCATTCCCCACTTCTTCACTCCCTTTGCATAGTACACATTTTTTTATCGCTGCATAACAAATTACAAATTAATAGCTTCAAATAACACCTCAAAGTCTGGGTACAGACCAACCGGGTTTCCTGCTCAGAATCACACTTCGGAAGTCAAGGTGCCACCCAGGTCTACTGTCCTGAGACTCATTCGAGCTGTTGTGGGCTAAGGTTCCTGTTTTCTTACTGGCTGTTGACCAGGGGGCTCTGCCCTTCCCACCTCCCATGCCATTCTCTGCTCTGTGGCTCTCCACAAAGTGGCTGTGTGCCCCTTCCAGACTAGCAGAATTCTCTTGAATCTCTTAAAAATTCCTCTCTCTGGCCTTTAGATCCAGGTTTAGAGGGCTCACATCAGTAGCTCAGATCCACTGAGATACTTTCCCTTTTGCTTAACTCAAGGTCAATCTTAATCACAACTACCAGATTCTTTTTGCCATGGGAGGTCACAGGCATGTTCCCATTGCACTCACAAGCTCAACCCACACTCCAGGGGCATGGATGGTACAAGGTGTGTACACTAGAGGGTGAGAATCCTGGGGGCCATTCTAGAAGTCTGCCTGCCATATATATCAGGGGTACACAGTCCTTTTAAACACCTGACGGGGAAGGAAACACTATCCCATCCCTGGGTTGTTTGCCATATATGTGTGATCTTTATTTGTTTAGAGATGGTTTTGTTGTGTCTTGTTTGTTTTGAACAGTCAGAACGGATAGATACGAATTCAGATATGGCTGAATTCAAGAAAAAGCAGACCAGCTTGCCTTATCAAATGAGTGAAAGCATCTTACTATACTTAATAGATACAATTTTATATTGGGGGTAGGTCAAGAATAATTAACTCAAAAAAGCTACATAAAGTCAAGTCGAGCTTTTAAAAATGTTTCTCGTGATTTGCTTTTCTCTTGAATATGTTTAGAGAAAGTCACCTTTCATAGACTTTCTAGGTGAGCTTAAACCATATACTGTGCAAATAAAAGCTTCAGGTTTTACAGAGCTATATGTTCATCTGAATATTCATATTGATGAATCAGCTCATCCTTCAGTATCAAATAGTTCTATAAGGTGTGTTCATATTAACACATGCCAGCAAAAAAGACTCATTCACCATGCTGTCTACCTTTACTATCTGTACTATTCTTTATTTTAATTTTCATTTTAAATTATTTTTTATTTTTTATTGAATTTTTTGGGCTGACATTGGTTAGTAAAGTTATATAGGTTTCAGGGATACAATTCTATAATACATATCATCTGTGTATTGTATGGTGTGTTCATCACCCCAAGTCATCGTCCATCACCATTTACTCTCCCTTTACCCACTTCTACCTCAACTCACCCTCCTTTCCCTCTAGTAGTCACCATGTGTCTTTTGAGTTTTTCTTTGCGTAATCCCTTCACTTTTTTCACCCAGCTCCAAATCCCCTTCTCTCTGACAACTGTCAGTCTGTTCTCTGTATCCTTGAGTCTGTTTCTGTTTTGTATGTTAAACTATTTTGTTCATTAGATTACACATAGAAGTCAAATCACATGGTATGTGTGTTTTTCTGACTGCCTTATTTCACTTAGCATAATATTCTCCAGGTCCACAGGTTTGGGCAAAGCAGCAGCTGACAGACTGGTTGGTCCCACATTTGCCTGCAGAAAAAAATGGGCTTGGGAGGGGAGCAACTGGGAGCGAGACAGACTATGCAACCCAGGATTCCAGTGCAGCGAAAGGAAAGCCTCAAAACCTCTGGCTATGAAGGCCAATGGGGGATGAGGCAGCAAGAGAGACTCCCAGCCCCACAGGAGAGTTCATTGGAGAGAGCAAGGAGTCCTAGAACATGCACAGACCCACCCAAAGTGACTGAAGGCCCACAGAGAACCGAGCAAGTGGAATTGTTCCCTCTCAGACCCTTTCTCTACATACAGCACCACAATGCAGTGATGTGGATTGCCTTGCCCTGGCAAATTTCTAAGGCTCCACACCTTACAAAGTAACAGGTGCACCAAGGAAAAAATATGACCCAAATGAAAGAACAGATCAAAGCTTCAAAAATAGAACTTAGCAATGAAGAGGTAGCCAACCTCTCAGATGCACAGTTCAAAACACTGGTAATCAGGATGCTCACAGAAATGGTTGAATATGGTTACAAAATAGAGGAAAAAGTGAAATATGCAAACTATGCAAAGTGAAATAAAGAAAAACATACCAAAAAAGAAGAGTGAAGGAAAGGAAAATGGGACTCAATGATTTGGAGCAGAAGGAAGAAATAAATATTCAATCAGAACAGAATTAAGAGACAAGAATTCAAAAAAAAATGAGGAGAGGCTTAGGAGCCTGAGGGACAACTTTAAATGTTCCAACATCTGAATCATAGGGGTGCCTATGGAGGAGAAGAGGAAGAGCAAGAAATTGAAAACTT